CTGTCCTGGGGATGGGGCACAGCTGACAGGAGATCTGAGGGCTGTGTGCTGTAAGCCTTCTCACAAGTATTCATGCTAATCAGCCTTTGACTTTTGAAAAACATTTCTCCTGCTCTTGAGCTGATTTTTCTCTGCACAGTGAGGGCTTGGGATGACAACAAAGTCTTTAATGATGGCAGTATTAAATCATAGCACTCAGCAGTGCCAGGGCTTGGTTATAATTTAAGCAGAAGAACGTTTCTAGAAAAATTAATTAATTGCTCATATGAATACATTATTCTTTTTTTTTTCTGCTTAAGTCTGGCCAAGCAGAATTCTTTCCTAAGTCCTCCACCACAGCCCTTTGCAGATCATCTTTTCCCTTACAGATTTTGTTTCTAGTTACCTAAAGAGTCCTCTTGAGCCCTCAGGAAAATTTTCATAAATGCAGGAATTCAGGTGAAATGATTCTCTGACAATGCACTTTCTTATCCCTGGAGGCTACCAGTCTAGGACTGAAAGTGAGGAATTGAGCTATGCAAGGAATGAGGGTAATTTGGTGTCCGCCTGCTTCTCTGCTCATTCCATTTTCACAGAGGTATGACATCAGGTCCTGAAGCTGGAGTTGTGGGTGTACCACTCACTGGAACAATTGGTCACTTCTAGCACAGATCTTTTCCCCAAAAAGCTGAATATTTTAGAATACATCATGATATCGCTTGCCACCCAAGAGCTAAACTCGTGTGCCACCATCTCTGTCTACAGAACAGGCTGAGAATAAACACCTTCCTAAATAGGTGCAATCTGCTGGAGAGGGGGTGCATAAAAGCTGGCATTGTCTTTGCAGGGTAAGTGCTTAATACATCCAGATCACAGAGGGGGGGCCTCAGTGTGGAAATGCTGGAGGTGCTGCAGGCACCCTTGTTCTGCACAGCACCAGAGTGGCATCCCTGGGAGAAAGCAGATGTGTAAAAACCTTGAGAGCTGGCACTGGTAGCCTAAAGCACTGAGAAGCAGGGAAGTGTTTGAGGGAGGAAATGACTGTGGGAACTGAACTGCACCTTGAGGTGCAGTTAAGGAAAGTGTTAGTGAATGGAAGGTGTTATATCATGACCGGAACCCTTGTCTTGCTGAGTTTAGCTTATTTTGAAACAAAAAGAACACATGGCATTCTTGCATGCCAGGCTACTGGAGCATCTTGTGTTCCAGTTTGCACCATCTGCTCTGGATGAAGCAGCTCTGGCAGGCAGAAGGGAGGAGGACAATCCAAAAATCAGTGTTCAGCTTCCCAACCTTTGCCTTTCCCTGCTGTGGCAGCAGCTCTGGCCAACCTTCTGCCTGCCTGCACCCGTGTAAATGTGGCTCCCCTCTCAGCTTCCCCTTCACATTCCTTCCTGGCAGCCTTGGGGCTCCTGGCAGCTCATGGGCTCAAGAGCTGCCAGCCTCTCCCAGTGCAGGGCAGCCCCTTCCTGCGGGGTGAGAGCTGCTCTCGTGTCCTGGGCTTGGTGCTGGCAGGGCGGGGCTGGAGGGGACAGGGAACAGGGTTCCATGGGCACAGGACCACGTCAGGGAGACAGGAGGCACAGTGCCAGCATGATCTCAGTGCTTCCAAGATGCCCTAAACATGTTTTTGGGAACAGGGGTGATGGTGAGACCAGGTATCAACTGCAGGCCTGCTGTGGGATGCCCAGGAAAGCCAAACGCTGGCAAGAGCAGGTCCCAGCGGTGCCTGATGCTCGGGCCAGCGCTGCCGGCAGGGTTAGCTGAGGACAGGAGCAGAAGACAGCAGGACGTGCTCAGCCAGCGGGAGCTGCAGTGCTGTGCTCCAGCCAGAGGAGGAACATGGACTAAGGAATCAGCCCCTTCCCTGTCCTTGCAGCAAATATTTTCCCTGCTCCCCAATAAGCTGCAGCACTTTTCTGTCATCTGACTGCACAGGTTCTTGCAGGTTTATTGATGCTTTCTCATAGATAAAACCCTCAGATTTTTTTCAGCCTCGCCTCCTTTGCTGTTTCTTACGCAGTCCCTGCTCTGCAGTCCCGTGAGGACGGGCGGTGCGGAGCCCTGCATGCTGCTGGACCGCCCCGCAGTGCCCTGGCCAGCTCCTGCCCTCCGCCGAGACCTGCGCCTGCCAAACGCCCTCCCGCCACTGCTGCCTCCTGCTGAAAGAGACCTAAAATAATGCATTCGTTCAGCCAAGTCTGTCTTTAGGCTCGGGGATATTTTAAGGACTCTGCCACAGTCTGGGTTTGCACAACTTCTGTGAGCTGCTGTATCGTGCAAAGGGAAGGCACGGTGCTACGAGTCGGTGTCCATTAATAGTGTGCAGGTTGCTTTTTCTTTTGACACCCTAGGCGCAATGACTCCTGAGATCTTGCCATTAACACTAATGCAGTTTGAATTAGTCTGTCACAGTGGGGGACCCCTGACACTCAGGACCAGAAGCAAAACAAAGCCATCAGGTGCCCAGACCTGCCGTGCACAGCCTCAGTGACATAAACCACCCATCTAATGTGCTGCTTACCAAGGATGTCTGTGAATTAAACTCCTTGTTTAGGCAGGATCCCAGGAGACACTTATGTGCAAACCCCTTTGCTCTGCCCTGCGTGCACCATGGGCTCTGTGTGTGTCGGTGTGCAGCAGTCATAGATACAATCACGGATACAATCAGGGACACAGCTGTTCTTCCAGCAGCTCTCAATCCCAGCATCACAAACTGACTCTGGTGCTTCATTTTGTTTCTGCAGAGCTCCCCCCTCCCTGCGGCGCGTTCTGTACGAGCGAGCGGACGTGGCTCCTGAAGGAAAAGTACAGACTGTGCTCTGCTCCTGCACTGACAAAAATTGATCTCTGCATTAATTAAAGCCTCTATTGTAAGTGACCTCGAGCTGCTAATGCATTTTAAAAATGAAGCTTTGCCAACAGCAAATTCATACACGTAGGGGCGACCAGGGGGAGAATCCTGCCATGGGCTGTGATGTGTCCCAGGAGGGTGTCCGACTCCACAAGCACATGCCTGTGGCTCACCCTCAAATCCCTGTCTGACCAGGCAGGACACAGAGCTGATGTCCACAGCCACTTGCAGGGTTAGAACACCACCATCCTGACACCATCTTGTGCAATGGTCCCGTTGCCAATGGGTTGTCTCTACTCCCTCAGCCTGTGGCCATGGGATGCTCTTGGCTTTCCCCTTCTGCACAGGTTGTGGGCATGCAGCCATCGAGACCGTTCCCTATCCTCACATCACAATTCACACCCACAATGAGCGAGGCCCAAAAACAGCCAGGGAGGGAAGAAATTCACTCTGAGGTGGGGACTCCCTGGGGGTCACCCTTGAGCCCCTTGATGGGCTGCCTGGTGCAGTGGCCTCCAGCGTGCAGCACTGCATTGGCCCCACAAAGAAAATTCCTCTGTGCATGTTTGTATTTGAAGGCTTGGGGGCTGGAGTCACCTGCAATGAACTGACGTGAAAGGGGAAAAGAACACAAAAAGGCTCTCACAGGAGAAAGGAGGGATGTAGCTGCTGGAGGGTGTGGCTGGTCTCACAGGCACCATGGTAACACCACGGCTGCTGAGCTGCACCGAGCCCCGGCCATGCTGGGCCCTGTGGGGTCAGCAGGAGGGCTTGGGCTGGGGATCTACCCTGGGCTCACGCCACAGGAGTGACTGTGTGCTGTGAGAGCAGTTTTTGGGTACTGTCCCTGGGCCACGGCTCCCTGCAGTGATGCACTGGTTGTAGGACCATGGGATGGTGGGGACTGGGTATTCCCCATGTCAGCTGCTGCAGGCTGATGGCTTCCTCTGCTTTTTGACCTGCCTGGTGACCATTTCACCCAGCAACAAGTGCCTGACAGAGGCAGCAGAAACTCCTACCCAGGCAAGCTGCTTTTCATCCCAGTACTGGTGGAGGAGCCCCCTCAGGAGAGGTGAAATCCCAAGGGTGTGTGTGCCCTGAGCACAGGACTGCTCCTGGCTCTGCCCCACTTGCAAATTCACCTCAGCACCAGGAGCCCAGAGAGGCCCTGCTCCCTGCTTGCCCTGTGCTTTTGGCCTGCCTGTTTCCAGAGGGCAGGGCTGGTCCCACCACCACATGCTGCCTGCTACCTTTCGTCAGGGCTCTGATGCACCTAATGATGAATTCCCAGCCCTTTGAGAAGGGATTATGTCTTCCAGAGACTAGAACAAAATATTATAAACTTAAAATAGCTGCTTCCTTATGGAATATGCCAACAAGCCCTACTGAATACTCAGTAGAGTTTAAATTTGCATCCATTTGCATACATATCCATAATTTCTGCCTCACCCATCATCCCTGCTCCATAAAGATGCACTGCCTGACATTGTGGGCAGATGATGGTGTTTGACACAGGCCAGCACCAACGAGGCCCCTCAGTGCCACTGCCCCAACCCCCATCAGAGACAGGGAGGTGTGACTGTCCCCAGCCCTCAGTTCCTGCCTGCATCCCTCCCCAGGGACCCTGGCATCATTCCTTCCCCTTCTACCATGAGAAGACTTTCTCACCTCGAAGAATAACAGAATAAATTCCCAAAGGTCCAAGAGGGTTTCTTACCTATCAGTCCAGGCACAGAAGGAAGGAGCAAGGTCCAGAAGTTCCCCTGGGGATGGAATTGCTTAACCAGGATTGCACCTCACCAGCACCCAGTGGACAGGAGTGGGAGGAGGAATGGGGACCTGAGCAGAGATTCCCAGCACTGAGCACGCTGCTGGAAAGCAAAACAACCTTGCAGCTAATGGGTTCAGGCCCTGAAGGCTCTGGGTCATATTCTAAAATGTGTCTGAGCACTGAATTTCTGTCATGCATCCAGGGAGGCTTCCTTCAACCTGCTGTGTGCCCTGGGACAAATCCAGCACAGTGCTGGCTAAAGCATGGGGTGCTGAGCTAGACCCCAACTTCCCTGGATACCATCTGAGACCCAAATCTCAGTGTTGAACTATCTAAAAAGAACTGACACCTGCAAAATACAGTTTAAAACCCAGAAGTAACACCAGGGAGGCCATGTCCATGTGACTGAGTCCCAGCAGTGAAGGTTTGCTATGGTTTCCTTCACTGCACAGACATTTTTATTCAGGTGGGATCTGCTTCTGGCTTGAATCCCAGCAGGAGTGATGTGAGGGACTGTGAGGAGCTGTGAGGGTTGGAGAGGTGGTGATATCCCCAAGAGAGTGGTGTCTACCCCCAGCATGAGTCCACACCATCAGGTCTCTGTCTCACTGGCATCGTACAGAGGGTTGAGGTAGAACACCTGGAGATCTTTGGGTATCACTTCTCCAAGGTCAACATCTGGAGGCTCCTGCAACAGCAAAGGAGGAAAAACAAGCGATGGGGAAGAGAAGCAAAACCCTTGGGCAAAACCCTCCCAGGGCTGAGTCCCTGCAGCAGCTGAGAAGCTGGTGAGGGAGAGTAGGAATGTCCCAAAACCCCTCCTGGCCTGGGGAAAGCAGGGCCCCTCTCAGGGTAACCCCAAGAGGCTTTTGGAAGTGTCACAGCCCTCAGCAGCTCCCGCCCATGCCCCGAGCACCCCAGGGTCCCTGGCAGTGGTGACTCACCACGCTGAACACGGGGTTGTCAAAGCCTTTGTCACTGGCTGGTGCAGGGGACGCTGGCTCCTCCATTCTCTGCCAGGGGTGGGTCTGGCGCAGAGCAGGAATCCTGGGGAAGAGCTGGGCATCACCATCCACAACCCTCCCATCCCTGCAGCTCCCCCAGCTGAAACCTGGAGTCCTTAGGAGGTGGATGGGAAATTATACAGGGGCAAAATGTGAGGCTGGTACTGAAATGGGGTATTTGTAGCCCTTCCCAGGGAAAAGCAGCAATATCCAGCAGAAATCATTCAGCCTGGAGATCTGGGACCTGCATTCTGGAGGGAGGAGTTTGCAGAGGCAGACAACTCTAGCACAGGCTTCACTTTGGAGGAATCATTCCTTCCCTGTGGCCTAAATGAATTGCCACAGAGCTGACACCTGTTCCCAGTATAATCTCAACAACTATTAATTACTTTTATCATTACTTTTATCACATTATCATTTTAATCACCATCACTACTTGTATTATTTTCTTCATTACTTTTATCCTAAGGGTCCCAGTCACTGAGGACTCCCCTGCACTGGGCACCTGCTGCAGGTGGGCTCAGCAGCAGCCCCATGCACATCCCCTCAGGAGCTCTGAGGGAAGCTCTGCCAGGCCCCTTTCAGTGGAAATAAGGGAGACCTGCAGCACAAGGGACAGGCCCTGGGCTCGTGTTCAGTTCTGTCTCCTGTAGCTACTGACTACTAAATTCCCTCCTGCTGCTGACAGAGCTGGTTTCAAAGGCCTGTCCAGCATCCAAAGAAGCATCAGTGAAAAATAAATCATCAAGTAGCAATTATGGGTCTGGGAGTTTTATTTAGAAATTAAATGAAGGCATGGGTTTACTGCTAGGAAATATCATGTCAGCACGTGTCAAGCAGCAGGGCAAGTGCTCCTGGCCAGAGCCACTGCTGCATGGTGACAAATCCCAGTGGAGGAGGCAGAAGGGAACAAACAACCTGACTCGTGAGCCTGTGACACAGCAGCCCCACACCAGGGAGCTCAGCACCCCCTGGCAGACACAGGTGCACTTTGCACATGCAAATTTAAACAATTCCTGGCCCCTGGTTATCAAGTGTGCTAAGTCAACTCCATTTGCCCACAGCTGGGTACCCTGCAAAACCCTCCACAAGTGGAGGGTGCATGTGGGAGAGGCAGAGGTGGGTGCCCCAAGCACCTGCCATGGGCACTGCTGGGATGCCCTAATCACTGCCAGGCCCCATATCCACGCTGTGAGGGAAAATGGTGATGGAGAGGGGGTACTTCTGACTAGTCCCCAGCTGTGGTGCAGTCAGGTGCACCCTCCAGCCCTGCCCTGGGACCTGCACTCTGTACTCCATGCTGTGTGAACAAGCAATGCACCAGAAGCTGCACTTGCTCTTGGATGCTGTCTCCCTTTAACAGTTCTGAAGCTGTGGGACAAGTATTTTGCATTATTTTGATGCATTTCTATTGAGCTGCTGGCAGGTTCAGTCCTCCCCTCCCTAGCAGGGCTGCAAATTAATGGTGCCAAGGAACAGGAGATGTCACCAGGCACCATGACTAGGCTGTGCAGAGCTCCAGCCAAGCTGCAGCAGCCCTGCTCCCACCCAAGCACAGTGCACCCTGCCAAGAGGCAGCTCCTCCTGGTCATGGAGGAGAGTGAAGCAACAGTCCAAGAGTACAGAAGTGCCTTTCAGCCACCTCACCTCCAGAAAACCATGAGGAGCAGGAACAAGTTTTAAACTGACACAGGGCAGGTTTAGATTAGATATTGGGAACAAATCTTTACTGTGAGGGCAGTGAGGCCCTGGCACAGGTTGCCCAGAGAAGCTGTGGATGCTCCATCCCTGGAAGTGTTCAAGGCCAGGCTGGCTGGGACTCTGAGCAACCTGGTCTAGTGGAAGGTGTTGCTGGCTATGGCAGGGGGCTGGAACTGGATGATCTTGGATGTCCTTCCAACCCAACCCATGTTGTGGTTCTGTGAACAGTAATGCTGGGGGTAGCAGGGTGCCAGGGCATGCCCCTCTCTGGGAGTTCTGGGCAGCACTGTGTGCCCGGTGTGCCAGGCTGGAAGGAGCCTGAGCTGGCAGCTCCCAAGCAGAGGCAGCCTGAATATCTGCTGCTGGCAGAAGCCCCATACCTACCTCAGCTTTCCCCTTCTGTAGAGAAAGAGGATCCCTCCAAGGAGCAGGAGACTGAAGAGTAGCCCCATGACTGTCCCTGCTGTGATCCTGCTCACTGGGAGGCTCCCCACGTGCCCGCTGGCAGTGCTGCCAGTGGCCACTTCCATTTTGCCACTTGAAATGCCGAGAGCTTCACCTGGGAAGAAAAAGGGATGAGGATTGTACAGGGCAACACATCCCCACACCCATGGCACAGGGAGCCTTCAGCTGGGTCTCGTCCTGCCTGCCTGGTTGATTGCCTTTCCCTGGGAACAGGGATGGGATTCACAGGTGGATGGACTCAATGGGGACAAGCCCCTGTGGGTCTGCCACCCACAAAATGACCACCAGCTCCCCTGGCTGTGACCTGTGTGCCCATCAGCATCTGCCAGCTTCCACTGTCTGCCTCCACAAGCAGCATTCTGGCTGCAGAGCAGCTCTGCAGACTTGGGGGCCCTGGCAGGCACTCAGCTGGTCATGGTCAGACATGGCATGGAAGCACACAGGTATCCCAGGCTGCAGGAGGAGAATTGCCAGCAGGGCAAGGGAAGTGACCCTTCCACTCTGCTCTGCCCTGCCCCTCTCAGCTGCAGCACTGAGCCAGGCTCCTCTCAGCAGCACCCAGTGACAGGGCACGAGACAACGGGCAGATGCTGAATATGGTAAATGTTGACCCTTCCACTCTGCCCTGCCCTGCCCTGGTGAGCCACAGCTGCAGCACTGAGCCAGGCTCCTCTCAGCAGCACCCAGTGACAGGGCACGAGGCAACGGGCAGATGCTGAATATGGTAAATTCCACTTAAATACCTGTATTTATCTAAGTATTTATATATAAAAAACTAGTTTACTGCAAAGATGGTCAGTTGTGCAGACAGGCTGCAGAGAGATGCTGTCCAATCTCCATCCTTAGAGACATTCAAACCCCACTGGCCATGAGGGCTGCTGGCAGGGAGTACAAAGCTCTGGCCAGCAGTGGGTCTGGGTGCCCCTGCAGGGCACCTGCTGAGGAGGACAGGGGTGTTACCGTGCTGTGCTATGCTCTGCATGATGTCTGCTGCCAGCTGCTCCGCAGCGGTGCCCGCCTGCACTCCCTCTCTGTCATCAATCAGCACGATCTGGATGAGAGGAGCGGCGCTTCGGGACACGACGCCCAGGAAGGTCTGTGCTCTGTGCACCTTGGATATGGCCATCTGCACGCCAGCGTATTTGGGCTTCCCAAAACACAAGGAGACACGTAAATCCAGTGACAGGGTAGGAAAAAATCAGTCACACTCCAGACAGCCACGATGGGTGCAGCTGCAAGGCCCACCTGAACCTTCACGTGAGCCCCAGCACAGAGCTGCCATCCCTGTCACGGCAGCGCCGCTGCATTTCCCAAAGGAGAGGCTTGTACATCTCCTCTCTCCCAAGCTGTGACCAGCACCCAGCACGCAAAGAGCCCCCATGCAAGGAGAGCAAGCTGAGAAGGCAATTTCATGTATCACACCCATTAAAAGCTGTATTAAGATGTGTGGCTGTAAGGAGGGCAGGCAGACAGCTTTCAGCTCAGGATCAATAGAGCAATACCCTGGTATCGAACCTCCCAGTGCAACACAGAGCACATCTCCTCCCCAGCAGCCCCTGGCAAAGAGCAGGGATGTCATGCTGTAAGTGATGCTTTGTAGAGCATCTGAGAGCTGGCCAGTGCCAGTCACCCACCAGTACTTGCCTGCTAGGGATGGCCAGAGGCCAGGGAATGCCCTGCTGCAGGTTTGCACCATCCCAGCTGGGTGCACTGAGCTCCCCTGGGACCTAGACCTGCTCTCCTCTGTTTTCTAGAGCAGCAAGCCCCACTGCATCCTTCCCCACTGCAAGCCAGCAGCTCTTCCTGCCCTGAGCTCAGCGGATGGTGGGGCTGTGGTGGGGAGCAAGGACCCAGCTCCCACAGCAAGCAGGCACATCCAAGAGGTCACACGGGGAGTGTGGGCCCTGCAGGGTGCTGGGGAGTGAGCTGCACCTCTGGCACTGCTGGGACTGCATGCCCCAGACAGTCCCACAGCCATCAAGCCACTGGCAGGTGTGGCCAGTGGCTTGTGGTTTCATTAGCCCCTCCCAATCTGACAGGCTCAGTACCTGGCTCAGCAACTCTTGGACCAATTTGTCCTGGTACTTCTGCAGGTCAAAATCAGGAGTGAAATCCAGGTTAATGGTGGCCCCTGCAGCCAGAAAACAGAGAGACATTAAACTCACCACGTGTGGGCAGAGAGCAGCCACAGCAGCACAGCTCTGACTGCCACGATAGGCACTGAGGACCCTCTGGTACCCTGGGCAACTGCTTTGGCTGGGCTCAGAGAGAAACCTCCCCTGATGGTCTTTTTGTCAGCTGGGTTTGATAAAAGGCTTTTGACTTTCCAACATATTCCGGAGAGAAGTTCCCAGGAAAGTTTTCTCCTGCTTATGCCTCTGGGAAGCTCTTCATGTCTTGGGTTTTGGGGCCATGAGGCTGTGGTGCAGCAGCACTACCCTGGCTTTGGGGGGAAGGCTGAGAGGAAGGGAACACCTGTGCTTCCCCATGCTTCCCCACAAAACTGCACTGCAGTCATGGAGACAAATATTTTCCTGGAAAAAAAAATACAATTAAGCATTTGCTGAAATTTTAAATTGTCCTAAAGACCGTAAGGGACTATGCTTTTAGGAGCACATTGGAGAAACATATGGTGCCATTTTAATGAATTTGGTATGACATACCAAATATTGGATGCCAAGTATCCAGGTACAACTGTGCATGAAAAATTGCCCCTAGCAACATTTCATGCAGATTAATGGAGGAGCATCCATTGTAAGAGAACGCTGTCAATCTGCATGCTTTTATTTTAAATGAAATTAAACAAGCTGGCTGTTGGGGAGCTGACATTGCAGTGGAAAAGGGTGCATTTTCTCTGCATGTTTTTGGCTGCATAAACTCAGCAGAGCCCTATTAGCTTGACAATCTGTGACATCCTGACAGGATAAACCAGAAGCAGGGACAAAGGGCTGCGACTCAGAACAGGCTCCCAAAAGCCAGAATCTCTGCAGAGAGACGTGCTGGGAAGGTGGCACGATGAGATCTGCACATGGGACCCACAGATGGGACCCTTGGCAGCAGTGATACAGCAAAACTTCAGCTTACAAAGAGCAGCAAGCAGTCCCTGCTCCCAACTTCCCCCATGGAGCCAGGGGAAGCAGGCTGGGGCAGCTGGCATGGCAGGGAGGAGGAATAGGGTCGTGTCCCCCACTCACCACAGACCCCACAGCAGTGGCCAAGGGGCTGCAAAGGGCTCTGGCACGCTGGCTCTGGGCACTGGCTCCCTGATGCCCTGAGCAGGGCTGCGCAGATGCGGGGGCCATCCTAAAAGAGAGCAGGGCAGTCAGTCCTTGTCCCACAAACTGCACTGGAGCCCCCAAAATGGGAAAAGGAAGACTCACCAGGGTGTTCCCGCAGGCACAGCCAGACTTATCAGGACAGCCAGTGCCTGTCACCTGGAGAGTGCCATTGCCATGAAACTGCAGCGGGGCAGAGGGGCCCTCCAGGTACTCAGCCCAGGATGATGGGGTGCTCAGCTCCTGTGCAGGGAAGAGCAGCAAAGCAGGTGAGTACCCCAGGACAGGTCCCAGTGCTGGCCCCAGGCACCCAGCCATGCTGCTGAGACACCTGGTGTCACATCCGATGGCCATCACTGGGAAGCCCCACTGCAGGCAGTGGGAAAACCCTGCCAATGCACCCATTCCATCTTTTCCCCTGGACCAACAGAAAAACTCTCTCAAACCAAAAATAATGACAATGAGAAGGCTGGGCCTTTTCTTCTTTTACTTTCCACCTTTCTGCTGGCTCAGAGAATTCAAGTTACCAGCTTTTCACTACTAGGAGAAAGGGGGCTGGGTCTGAGCTGTTTCCTTCTGTCTGGGAAGAATTTCTATGTGCTTGGCATTAGCAAAGGCTGAGCTGGACTGACCAGCCTCATCCTGCCAAGTCACCGGTGATTCCCTCACCCACTCTCTTCCACAGGAAGTGTCTCCATGCTCTGGCACAACAGGCAGATTTCTCAGGCCCTGGGATGAAAACACTCATCACATAGCACAGAGTAGGCTGGGTACAAAGGGATAGAGAAGCTCAAATGGTCAGTTCATGAAAAGCACCTTCTCCTTCCATCTCATCACTCAGCAGCAGCCCCTGCCCTGAGGGACAGCCAGTCACTGGGTGGGTTGATGTGCTGTGGGGTAGTCTGCAGCATCAGCAGGACCAGCATCACTCTGAGCACCCAAGATCATCCACCTCTGCATCCCTGGGGCTGTGTGGGCTTGGGGTGAGCTCCACTGGGGCGCTGCCTTGATCAGACTTGCCTGCACCTGCCTGGGCACTGAGTCTATTACTCAAAAAGCAGCTACCTAATGCCTGGCCCCGAAATGGCAGATCCCAGCCAGCGCAGCAGCAGAAATAATAAATAACTTATGAAACGCCTGCCGCATCTCCCACTCCTGGAAGGAGCCTGTGTTTACCGCTGCAGCGCCTGTGATCTTCTGCTCCTCCAACCAGGAGGGACAGGGCTCCTGGGGACCCTGATTCCCGGGCTGAGGCACAGCAGGCTGCCAGCGCTTCTATAATTATCCCTCCAATCAATTAAAGAGCAGTGCTGAAGCAAAGCTGGGAGATGATCACTGGGCCACAGGCCATGTTAAGGTCGGGGGCAGGAGGGAGGTGTCCCCAGAGGGTCCCCGAGCAGCACGGCTGCAGACACATGCCTGGGATGGGAGCGACCCCTGGGAGCCACAGAAGCTGCCATTTGCTGAAGGTTTGACCTGCGCATATCGGCCCTTTTTAAACACGCACAGTGAGACAGCCTGCACTCCCACACTGCAGGGAGGGAGCCGATAACAAACTGGTTGATGCAAAAAGCCATCGAGGCCATCCACAGCAGCAGCAGCTCATGTAGCTGCAGCCCCGCGGGAGTGCCCCATCTCCCTGTACAGCGCTGCTCCCCCACTCGGGGCTGTGCTGAGAAGGCGTCCAGCCAGCTCCTCTTCCTGCCCGCCTTACCTGGCCCATGACAGAGATGCTGCGGAGGTGAATCACGGGCTGCGATGAGTCGGTGTTTACCCGGAAGGAGGTTTCTGGCTGGAAGATAACATCATCGTGGCGGCACGGGACGCGCTCCTCATGCACGGAGAAGAGGGGCGCGCTCGGCCTGAGCGCCCCGCCGGGACGGACATCCCGCCACAGCGTGGGGTCGAACCACGCGCGGTGCTCAGCGTCAGCGAACCTCGCTGCTCCACCTGCAAAAGGGACACAAAAGGCTGAGCGTGACCCCAACGCAAAGCCAAAGCCCCAGCAGATGCATCTGGGTTGGTAGAACCAGGCACTGTCCGGCCTGAAGTGAAGGATCTCTGCGGGCAGGGAGCTGAGAGCTGGCCCTGGCATCCCCCTCATGGGCACCCACTGCAGGCATTTCCCAGAGCTTGGCAAAGCTTCCCAGAACTCAGGGCTGGGGTCTCAGCCCAAATCCCACATCTGTCTGCAGGCTTCCAGGCCCAGATCCCACAGGATATTTTTTTCCCCATTTTTTAAAGTTCATCCTTCTGGTTAAGGAGGAGAACATCTGCCTGAATGCTGAGTAACAGCTAAATCTGATAAAAATGGCTGTGATAATTCATGCCCCAGTTTCCCAGCAGCCTGGCAGGTCTGCAGAAATGTGACCAGCCCTATTCCCTGGAGCCGGCAACCCCAAAGCCAGTGCTCAATTTAACTATCAATTATTTAACCATTAACCATTTCCCTACTGGTTAGTCTTATCATGCAGTGCTCTGATTCCTTCTCTCCCTTCCCAGCAGCTGAACCTTTACCAATTCAACCAGCATGCAGGTATTTAGTGACTGAATTATTTGCATTCATTTTGAAATCATGCTTTAGAGAAGTCTATTTGTGAAAGCTGTCCTGGAAACACCAGCTGATTTCAGGGGAGCAGTGCATGGTCAGCAGGAAAAGCCCAGTGCCAAGCACAGATGCTAGAGCATCCCTGCTGGGGGGCAAACAGCCCCAAAACAAAAAAATTATAGGGATGAAGGATTTCAGACTGGCTCCAGACAGTCTTAAGATACAATCCTTCCTCTGGGGAGACTGATTTAGACTTTTTCTCTCTTTTTTTTCTCTCTCTCTCTTTTTTTCTTTTTTTTTCTTTTTTTTTTTTTTTTTCCATTCAAAGGGCAGGCACAGGTGCTCTGTTTGAATACTTCCTTCCCTGTAGAGGAACTAAAAAGTTACTCGCTGCTGAAAGCATGGGGTAGTTCTTAAGCACCCAAAATACACTTCCCTAGAAAATAGCTTTCAGATAAAAGCAGGCATCAATGACACAAAGCTGCTGTCTCAGCCATGGGCTGGGGGAGGGGAGGATGTTTGTGTGGGGCCAAAGGCTAGCTTGTTGTGATGGCCATGGTTTGGCTCACCAGAGTGTAACTCCTAACTGTTTCTTTAGAAACACCATGGCAGAGAAAATAAGGGCTTTGATGTGGCTACATGCTTAATAGACACGGGAAAATACAAACAATATTTACCTCTCTGCTACAACTTCAAAGGCTTCCCTACTATAATTACCTTTTAAGAAGACAGGTGATCTAGGAGGAAAAAAAGATCTGATGTGAGGGAGGTCATCAAAGGAAAGGTAAGTATTGAAGAGGAGTGATTCACTTTGCTCTGAGGTAGGACCTTTGTAGAGGTATTTGGGCTGAATTTACATGATTCATCACAGCCTGATGGGTACTAAATACCTGAGTCACAGCCTGGATCCCAGCTGCCGTCGAAAGCTGTGAAGGCTGCACCAGCTGCCAGCACGAATTCTCCGTTCAGGGGCAGGTACTAGATGAAGGATGCAGAGTGTTACTGTCCTGCTGCCAGCCACCCAGGCTCGTTACCAAATAGCACTGCTAATTGTTAGGCTGCCTATTACACTCACAGTCTCCAAGGCACTTTACAGTTATCAGGAGCTACTCTTACCGTGCCCCATGTACATGGGAAAGCATCAGCTCCTGGTTTTATGGATGGGATCCTGCAATGGGGAGAGGCAGCATGATGTTATCCTCCACAACACAGAACAGCATCCAGAGGAGCAAGAACAGGAAAAAGCAAAATAAGCTCTTTGACAGTTTCTTCCTCCTCTGGTACACACTCGCAGCAGCTCAGGAATGGATTTATACATGGTTGGTACACCAAGAAAAACCCAACCTTATTCTGCAAGTGCCAGATGCTCCCTCACTTAATGGTTCCTACCTCCAGGGGCTGTGCTTGCCCCACAACATATAAATCATGGGCTCATGTTGTGTTTGGTACAGTGTCAGGAAGTGAATTTGCACTGAGCACAAGCTAAGGGAAACACACAGTGGCATTTGGAGCAGCCTGCCATAGCCAGACTCTCTTCTTGTTGGGTAGGACATCACCAGCTGGTAGACAGGACCACAGTACTGACCTGGCTTCAGCCTGCAGGGCCCACCCATTGATGAACCTCAGCTCTGCCATGGGAACCTTTCCAGCAAGCAACTGTGGCCACCTGGGTCACCAGCCAGCACTGCTAACTCTGGGACAAGCCCTGACAAAAGATCAACTCAGGCAACTCACCCACAGCAAACAGGTTATTCAGCCCAGCCCATCTTATTTTACGTTTAGAAATTGCAGAGGGAAAGTCATGGCTTCTTCCAGTATTTTAGAGTCAGTGATGCTCAAGGCATCCTTCTCTAATTTGGTCCATCCAGTATTTTAGCATCACTTCCAACAGCAGCTGAAAGCCCTCCCAGACTGAGTTATGCCAATGTACAGGGTCCTGTGCTCAGGTAGAAAAAGCTAAATGGGATTTTAAGGTTCATCTACTTAACTGGTCTTTAAATATGTATGTAGGTTAGAGAAAGCAAGACTTATGACTGACTGCTGCATGGTGGCCATGACAGCTCTCTGTCCCTGGCAAGTCTTGCCTGAGGATGCTCGGTCCCACTCAGAGGCCACCATGGGGAAGGGATGGGGGAGGTGGACAAGACAAAAGCTCATCACCCCCAACTGTAGGTGGGCACCTGTTAAGAAGTTTAGTGCCTTGTTGGTGCAGCACTTTGAAGGCCTAAGCCCTGGTGCCCCTCTCTTGGTTCAGGAACCATGAGAAGCCAGGACAGCAAGCAGAGGGTGGCTGTCACCAAGACAAGACCCACAGTACTCCTCTGCACCATCTGCTGTGGACCCAGCAATGCCATACATTGGGCTGGACAAGAGGGGATGACACTGGGAATAACTGAGGTTGGGGCAACATGCCCCAAGGGTGTAGAGTCTCCCCCAGCCAGGAAGAAGCCTTTGCCCATGGACACTGCTCCATCAGACCACAGCCTGTGTCCTGCCATCAGGTGCTTTGAATTTCTATTACTTTTGATTAGAGGAAATTTGTCCAACACCAAAGCACTGAAAAAGGCTGAAAGGTCTGCCAGGATACAAAAGGCATCACGTCCTTTAGCTGCAGATGAAAAAGCCATCAAAACATGCCTGTTTTGAGGCTCAGAACTTGGCCTGCATTCAGCTGGGTGAGGGCAATGCTACCAGCTTCAACCACAAAATGCTGTACTTTGGTTCAAGTGCCCTGGCTTGTTTCCCCGTGAGCTCAGGCAGAAGCAGGTGATGGGACATTTTGGAGCAGTCAGCTGCCACCCATGCTCAGGCCAGTGCCAGCAGCACTGCCAGCCCCGTCCCTTCTTCCAGACTGGCTGGGCCATTGCAGCCTGGAGCCCCTGGGCACTGCCTCTTGCCTGGTTTGCAGGCTGGCCCCTGCGGCTGGCTGTGCACAGCAGGGCCAGGCAGGAAGGGTGGCCAGCTGGCTGCTGGGCCATCTGAGCTGCTCAGAGTGGGGCTTTGGATGGGATGCAGCAGATCCTTTCACCAGCACAGGGTACCAGCTCTTCACAGCAGTCAGCTCTGGGCATCCTGCATGTGCTTGGGAGGGTAAGCAGGTCTGGATGGGCCAGCAGGACACAGCACCAGTTCTACGCAAGAGGAGAGCTGGGAGAATCGTCTCAGGCCAAATCTGCCTCATGCCAAATCGGTCCCATGCCTGCAGCACCTGTGCTCTGGAGACACTGGCCTCTGAGCTCTCTGGACAAGATGCAGCTTCTCCAGCCACCAGAGGAGATCCCCCTCCACTGCTGAGGCCAAAACCCCAGGCTGGCTGGCCTTCCAGAGGAAGCTGCTCATGTGCGTGTCAGTGTGGCAGGGAAATGAGAGTGAGCACACACCATGTCCCTTCACACCCTGGGATTACCCAAATACTGCAAGCACCAGCCCTGGAATTAAAATGCAACACAACATGATGCAAGACAGGGGACAGAGTCACCTCATCTCCACAAACATGAAGTTCAGGAAGAGCTCTGTACTTCTGCTTTGCCACAGGAATTTCTGGGGCTGGGCCCTGCAGCTACGGCTCCCTGCCCACTGAGGCAGCTGTGCTGCACATCCACCACCAGCCCTGCCTGAGATTCTCACCACTGGGCAGTGTTTCAGGAGTGTCTCCATCATCCAGTGGATCTTTGTAAATAATTTGCCCTTTCTTTTTTCCTAACATAAGTTAAGCATCTCAGCTCACTGCAGAGGACAAATAGACGCTCTGGTTGGGCAGTGGTTTTCTACCTTTGGGAGTTTAGTATGGAAATTGCATACAGGTTGGGCCACTTTCCAAGTACATTTTGAACTGAGCAATGACAGGTACCAGTGGACCAAAGCCAAAAAGCTGGCAGTTTCATCTGCTTTCCCTTCCTCCTGCCAACCTGTACTCCAGGGCCATTAATATAGCAAGTGTTTAGAGTCCCATTAGTCATTTTCCATCCCTGATACAGGTAAATCACTTATCTCCTCAGTTATCATTATCAAGTGTAATGACAACCAAAGCACAGTCATAATTTTTCTTATCAAAGTCTGGGGAAAAAAAAAATAAAAAAGAGGAAAGACCCCATGTGGCTCTTGGACCAGCCCCAGCATTGCTGTACCAGAAAGAATCTGCTCCCCCAATGCATAAGTGAAGAAGAAACTAACCTCCAAAATGTGAAAGGAAAAACAGCAAATTCCTGAGAGATGGCTTTCCAGTCAGGTGGCCTCTGATTGGAACCAGCCTCTGGCACATCCTTGAGTCGCAAGCATCAGGCTGAGATGACTGACAGGAGCACTGTGACTGGCATGGCACCATCACCAGGCCAGGAAAAATGCAGCACTTGTGCTTTAACCTGGGTGAACAACACTTGTGACTGCAGCCAGGTCTTCCCCCAGCCTTGCTTTTATTTGCAGTATTGATGCATTTGAATTCCTTGATTGGACGAGATGGTGCCACCATCCCCATCACTCAACACTAAGACTGCCTGGGCTCACTGAGCTCCACAGTGCTGCCTCCACAGCTGCACCAGCAGGCAGGTCAGCAGCCATCACCCCTGGGTACATCCCCCTGCCTGGCACCCAGCCCAGGAGCAGCTGCTGGCCCTGGTGCTGCTGGCCCTCCACTGAAAAACATCACTGGGACAGGCTGCAGGTGGGCTATGGCTCCAACACAGACTGCTGTAACCCACCACAAGCAATAATGCACAAGGGAAATTATTTCCATTCCATCTTTCCCAGTACAGCCCTGCTGGGGCAGTGGCAGCAGCAGGCAGCCAGGGCAGCAGCCGGGTGGGCCCTGCCCATTCTGCCCACAGGTGGGAAAAGCAGGGATTTTCCCAGTGTCTGCTGGGGGTCTCAGCACAGCTGGTGGCAATGCCTGGGTGATATCCAGCAGTTGGCTGACACCCCAGAAAGGCACAGGGCCAGGATCATCCACAGGTGATCTGGATAATCTGGATTCCTCTGATAATTCTGGAGCATTGCCAGGGGCTCACTTTCAGCCCAGCATTTCTTGGGTTCAGTACTGGGGCTTCAATTATTGACCTTCTGGTCCAGGTGAAGCTTTCACCTACACCCTCAGGACAGTGCCCTTCCCTTCAGCCACTCCACACCCCCAGTTTGCTGCCAGAGACAGCCCGTTCCTGCCACAGCCCTCGATCCCACAGAAGCTAGTCCAGGTCCCCGGCAAGGCAGGATGACCTCCTGCTACCCCAAGACCTCTGTGCAAGGGTCACCTGCTGCTGGAGCAGCACCTTGCTGCCCAAAGACCTCCCTGCCCAGGCACATGGTCCCATAAAGAATAAGGCTTTAACTTCCCAAAGAAACCAGGCCAGAACTGCAGCCTGTAACCCCATGAAGCCATGCTCGTGCAGGCTGCTGCAGCATGCCTGGGGCACAGAAGCTGGTGCTGCTGTCCATGGGCCCCATCAGCAGTGATGGGGGATGCCCACAGCCCTGCCCTGACCCCAGCAACAGCTCACCCCTCTGCTTCTGACCCAGAGCAGGCAGGAGCACAGGAGTGGAGTGCCAGGGGATATCATCATTTCAGCGTCATCCCCTGCAAGCTAACGAGGTGCTTGGCTGCTGTCCCTCCCCTCCAGCCCAGCAGCAGCAGCACAGCCGCGCTGTCATTAGTGCCAGAGCCAGCTCCCCTGCTGGCTCTGCTCGTCACGTTTCAGGTTGTGCTTCAGCACACGGGCTCCCCACAGCACCTGGCCAACTTGGCCCTGCCACCACATCCCCTGGCACAGGGTGACACATCAGGTTCCCAACACATCACAGTCCTGCCCATCCCTACAGAGAAGCTACAGCTCCTGGCCATGCCACACAGCTGCTGCCTGGTACAGCACCTGCCAAACCTCCCACAGGGCCCAGTGAAAGCCATGGGAGGATAAAAAAAACAAACAACAGACCCAAAAAGCCCATTAACTTAATTGCAAATGCCCAGAACAGACTTCTAGCTGAACAGGTCCCAATGGTGTACAGAAATCAGGTGTCACAGGGACATGGGAAGCCCCTTGGGTAGCTGAAGACATTGAGCTCTGTATGCAGAAGACAGAGAGAGGCTTAAAGCCATTTGCCAAATCTATTTCAGATTAGTTAAGCTCCTTTTCCTGAACTTTTCTCTACAGACAAGGTCAGAGAAAGCCAGAAAGAGGCTTGAGGCGTGTGCATAAGGGCCATGCCCAGCAGTCAAGGGATGGCAGACTGTCCATGGAGCAGCTTCCCAGCCAGACAGGCTCCAGCATCCACTGCAGCCCAGGATGCTGGCAAGCTGCTCTGCTCATCAGACTTTAGTAACTCCTCCTGCTGGACACCAGCCTGGAATGAGCAAATAGACTCGGGGAGATGAGTGTAAATGGCTGTTTTACCGAACTCCTTTCCTGCACACACCTCCATTGTAAACGCTGACACAGGAAAGACTGCAGGATTTCATCTTGGAATTCCACCCCTGAATTTTTTTATCCTCATCTTAGGGGAAGGAAAAATAATCCCTTTTCTGGTTGTCTCATTACCCCGCTGACTGGGAAGAGGTGGGGGAGGGAGCACCGGTGCCTGGGACTAGCGCGAACTGTGGCAATTCATTAGAGCCGGTGCCCCTGGAGAGCAATTGGCATTTCAAGATCAATCTCTGCCAGGAACCGAGCGGGAGCATCCTGCAGCAAAGCTGAGCACATTCTGCTCTCGCAATTAGGCGGCTAAAAATATAAGGCTGGGGGAAGTGTCCCTGGTCAGACCCCAGTGCCACTCCAAAGCCTTGCCCAGCCTTGCAGCCCCTCGTGGGGCAGGCAGGGAGGGGGTAGGGACAGATGCCGCCCCACAGCAGAGCTCGGGGATGGGGCAGAGCTGGAAATGTGATGTCAGGGCTGCTGAGTAACCCCAGCCAGTGTCCTGACCCTGGGGTCGAGCAAGGCTGCTCTGCCCATGTGAATAAACCCGACCCCTGCCACCCCGAAAACAGAAGCAGCAGCATCCATCCCTGGCCCACATGCCAGTGCTGGCCGGCACAGGGACAAACTGCACCAGGGCTGGTGTTACTGGGGCAAACACCAGGCTCACTGCTGCAGCCTGGCCTGGCTCCCTTTGGAAGCACAGACATAGCTAGAGGGCCCACTCACTCTCAGGAGTCTTCCTCCTCCATCAGGAGACAAACAAATCCAAAGTCTGCCTTGCCCTGGAGCACCCATGCCAGGCATCATCACCTCCATTTCCATCTTTTCTGCACATTTAGTCTCAGGCACCTCCAAAAGCTGGCTAAATACTGATCTGCATCTTTAGGCAGCTAAACACTGTAGAAAATCCAGCCTAATCACAACGGTTGTGCATCAAAGCCACTTATGCTTTAAGCTGGATTTGGATTTAATGTGTGACTGAATTAGGGATCCATTTGAAACTTCAAATAACTGCTGAGCTGGGTGCTCAGTGGGTGAGCTCTGAGCAGGGAGGCAGGCTCTGTGTCCCAACAGCCCTCTCCCAAGAAAGCATCTCCCAGCACTTGGCTGGGGCACACATGGGGTGGATGGGGAGGGGAGCTGGAGAGCTCACCATACAGAAGTGAGCTTTCACATGAATGTCTAGGACAGGAGCGATGGTGACACACGAGGACAGCCTGGCGCTCCACTCAGCTGGGGAGTTACGATGGGAGATCTCATGCTGTCCCTCCACCACCAGCACCAAGCATCCTCCCCTACACTTGCCACAGCAGGCACTTATCTTCATGAAAGTCACAGAGAGCCTAATCCCTCCTCAGCCATGAATTTCCTTCTATGGTACTATAGCAAACAACATTCTGCTTTTTTTTTTTTTTGGCCAAAGGCTGTATAGCATCTCCATGGTGACTCTAAAGCTTAATGTATTCTTGCTGATTTAAGTGATTAATGCTCCAGCGCGTGTGGCTGGCAGCCGAACAGGTGCAGCCCACCCTCCCTGCAAAAATCCTCATGACCAATTCATTTTCTAACCAGCTGGTTGCCAAATTTCATGCCATTTGCATGAGTGGCAGCCTAGCTCAGGTGGTGGGTTTCATTCCTTTTTCATCCCTAACCTTGGCAGTCCCTCTATCACCTGGTGACAGCAAAGCATGGCAGTGAACAGGAGGGAAGTGCCTGAGTTGAAATTACAAAGAAATATTAACCACCTCACTAAGAGACATGCTGGGACAGTTCAGAGGGAATGGCTGGGGCAGTGCTGCTCAGAAGGAAGGTGTGAGCTGCAGCACAGGTTATAGGCAGGGTTGGCTGCTCACCTGCAGTGCAATTCAGTGCAGGAGGGGAATGGTGCCCTCACAGCCCATGTGATGCTTCGTTCCCTCACGGATCCCCTTAGCAGTCCTCCCCATCTGCACAGCAGTGGGACTGCAAAATTCACTGTAACCCTGGAGCCTGTGCAGCTGCCTGCCAGCAGAAACCCCAAGGCAGCAGAGGGTCCCCGCAGGCTCCTGCCAGCACTCTGGATCCTTTGACAGGGATGAGCCAGGGGTCACTGGGGCATCCTGACCCATCCCCCAGTTGCAACAGGAGCCATCCACCCGAGCAGGGGGCAGGGCCATGGACGTTGGTTTGTGTTTGCAAAGGTTGTGTGGATCTCCCTCTCCCCAGCTCAGCTCTGCTCTCCAGCTTGGCTGCAGGAGGCTCAGCAGTAATGACTGACGCTGCTCTGCAATTATGCACTTTGCAGGCCTCTGATGAAAGTACTTTAGAATATTATACATTCATCTGTAAGTAAAATAAAATCTACTGGAGTGGTATTTTGCTCTTCTCTTCTCTGGGTAAATTCCACATCATTTATTACATTATATTTGTACGTATTTCCCCAGTACATTCTTTCCTTCAAAAATTCATATTTAAAATGCCATATAAATAAAGTATCTTTTCCAAATATTTGTAGAGGGATTAAACGTGGCACATGGCGTTATTAAAGCATCAAAACTATTAGTGGCGTAGACAGCCTGAACAAATTACACCACATAAATTTCAAGGGCTTCTTCAAATTTAATGGCCAATAAAAGAGCAAAGCTGCCCTAAAACCAAGAGAGGAGCCTCATCCACAAGCTCATCAGGTTTAGAGGAGGAGGTTTTCCAAACAGGATTCAGCCTATCTCTTCCTGACCCAGCACTGAGAGAGGGCTCACTGATGACCCATCGCCCAAAGCCCTCTCTCAGTGCTTTTCCCTTTAATTCCTCCCTGTTAAATTTTCGCTCACTGATGACCCATCGCCCACTGGCAGGCTGGGGCAGAAGGTTTGCTTTTCCCTTTAATTCCTCCCTGTTAAATTTTACCCTCCAAGCCACAGAGATTAAGAGCCCATTAAGAGCTCCTGTCAGCCTGCTCTGGGGCAGAGTTCCTCATGTGGGGCAGGTTGCTCAGAAACCCACTCTGAGCTGAGCTCCCCCCCAGTCTCATATCACTCAACACACACATTTCAGCAGGGTGTCATGCCCATCCTGCCACAGCTAGACTGAAAATACCACAGAAAAATATAAAACCCAATGGCACTTGAAAGAAAATTTCTCAAGCAACATTTTGGGATTTCCCAGAACAGTTTGTTTTCATTTCAAGATATTTTGATGTCAGCTTCACTTAGCTTCTGCCCAGGGCTAGTGCCTGCTCTGTCAGCAATGCTGTGGGTTGGTGCTCCTCAGCCAACTACTGCTAAACTCTCCATCACATGGAGGGGGTTTTATCCCTCCTTTGAGGAGAAAAAAATCAATTTCTTTCAAATAAAATTAGATTTTGCTGTATTCTTTCTCATCTCCCCTAAATAAAAAAAACAACAAAGCAAACAAACAAAAAACAAACAAACAACAAAACCAAACCAACCAACCAAAACAAGCAGAAATGGGCTTTTTGGTTCCATGTACAGAGAAATCCAGGCTACTGTAGGACTCCTGTTCCTTTCCTCAGCTGAGGCATCCTTGGTCTGGCTGGACCATGGAGGAAAGTGTCAAAGGCCATGGAATGACTTTAAACTGACAGAGGACAGTAGGACATTAGATCCTAGGAAGAAATTCTTTACTGTGAGGGTGATGAGACACTGGCACAGGCTTCCCAGAGAAAGTGTGGACGTCCCACACCTGGAAGTGTTCAGGGCTGGGTTGGACAGGACTTTGAGCAACCTGGTCTGCTGGAAGGTGTCCCTGTCCATGGCAGGGGGTTGGGATGATCACCTTTAAGGTCCGTTCCAAGCCAAACAATTTAGTGACTCTGTGGAGAGGGGAATGTGCCACCAGGCAGAGCTGCAGAGCTGGCCCTGCCCTCACCCACCATGCCTTACCATGTCTGTCAGCGCGTGGGGAGACCTGACGAACACCGAGACAACCTGTAAGAAAAGCAAGAATAAAGTCTGCTTTGCCCTGTCAGGTAAAGGGGCTTTTCCAATGCCTGACGGTGTTTTGTGGAAACAAAAATAAAATAAATTTTAAACATCTATACCTTGTCCTTCTCAAAGTGAACCACATCCCTGGCACAGGGGACTCTGCCTTTATCCCAGTTGGAGGCAGTTTCAAAATTGGTGTTGGGGATCCACTGCTTGTACACGGCAGTGGTGGCACCTGGGAGGGAACGGAAAAAACAGTTTAACCCAGTCCATGGGAGGAACTGCGAGCCTGCTCTGGGAGGTGCTTTAGGATGGCTTGGCATTTATAGGTCAGATTTGGGAATTTTCTATCCAAAAGCAGCTCCTGCATTGTCCCAGCTGAGCAGCCACAGCCTTTATCTACATGGGGGATTTTTTTTTTTTTTTGGCTGGGTGATGGTTTTAGCCACCCAGACAGGAAGAGAAGCAAGGGACAAACACTCAGCACGCAGACAGAAGGCAGGGAAATGTCCTGCAGGCAAAAGGTAAGAATAACATACACCTGGTAGTTAAGCAATCCATGCAGGGGGGTTTAGTTGTCACTCAGACTAATTAAACAAGTAAAGACTCCTCAGCCTTTGGTTTCCAGAAGGTACAGAGTGGGCATGCAGAGCTGTGATGCCACTAAGACAAGGCAAGAGAAGAAAGAGCATTTGCTATGGGACATGTAGCACAAGTACAGGCCTGGTTTCATGTGTTTGGAGCTAGAGATGGAGGATTCAGTAAGTGTACTTCAGCCTGAGGCACAAACATGTTGGGAAACAGGGTTCTTCCCCTTGGGGTTTCCTGGGACAGGGGCAGTCCTGTCCTTGGGGCCCCAGAGGGATGAGCCTGCTGGCCAGGGACAGGACACGGGAGGGGATTTTCAGTCTGACCTCTCTGTTTGCACAAGCACAGCAGAGCAGCCTCCCAGCCTGACATTTCCCAGGCATGGCTGGGGGATGCATGTTCAGCTGAAGATGAATGAATCTCCAGAAGCCTGAATTAAATGGCTTCAGGCAAGTGATTATGAGACACAGAAGAGAAAACGATAAAAAAAAACCCCACCCTACTTTTGTAATATTAATGGATCGTCTTTTCTGAAGGAGAAAGACCCACAAAATTAGAAAATATGTAGAAAGCCCGTGGTGGAAGGGGCTGGGGCACTGGAGAGGGAAGGTCAGCCCAGCCCAGGGGGGCTCGGAATGGCTCCAGCTGAGAGGAAGGCGCTGCACAAAGCCTGGCCCGGCTCCTCCAAACGATGTGGCTGCAGAGGCTCTATCAGAACACAGGGATCACCCTGAGGTGCAATCTGCGCTGTTTTACTGTGCCAGGGGCTCTGCTGAGACCGCTGGCTGTAGTAGCCATCTCCAGATGGACGGAAACGATGTATTTTTAACCAGAATGAAAGTCCTGGAGCCCAGGTGCAACCGCGGAGGGGCTCCCCTGCCTCACGCCGGGCTGCGGGTGCCTGAGGGAGCCCTCAGGCCGAGCGAACACACCCGTGCCGTGTGCTCTTCAAAACCCTCCGAGAGGGAATAAAAACATTACCGGCGCTAAGAACTGCAGCCAAGCAGCTGCTCGCAGTGTTGTGGGCATAAACACCTTCCTGGCTCAGAGCAAAAAAGAGCTTAAGAAGGAAAAAAAAAAAAAAAAAGAATACCGGACGGCAGTGGCAAGTTGTTCCATCCTTGCTGCGGTTCCCTCGTGTCCCTGCCACCCGGGAAGGTCGGAGCTGCAGCCGAAAGGCTCGGCCAGCCCCATGGCACAAAGCCTCACGGCCCGCAGGCCCAGCGAGCCCACAGCCGGGCCGGGCCCACCCTAGACACGGCTCCGCTCCCGCCCGGCTGCAGCCGCGGCTCCTCCGGCCGGAGGTTAACCCCTTCGCCCCGCGCCTTCCAGCACCCTCCCAGCCCTGGAAGTATCAGTGTGCTATTTAATCGGCCCTGTCTCCCGGGAAGCGCAGTCCTTGAACATCAAAGCTACATGCATATTCAACAGGGAGCGTGTCCTGCAGCGCAGCGCTGCTGACTTCAAATGAGAGGCTCAGCAGGCTCCGCACGGCCATCCCAGCCCCGGTCCCTGCCTGCCTTCCCCGTGCCCGGCTGGAAATGCCTTCTCCCGTTTGCCTGTCAGGCACGCTGGGAGTGACAGAGCCTGCAGCTCTGCTCCGGACCAGGGCTGAGGTCGCCCAGCGGTCACCCCTGCTCGCCACGGCGGCCGGGCCCTGGGCGTACTCACCCAGGAGCTGCAGGATGCCCAGGAGGGAGAGCAGGAGCTTCATGTCGCAGCCGGCTGCCATCCCTCGGCTCCGCGATCCCTGCCCGGCTGGACCTTGCACCTTCCCGGGCACGTGATGGGCCCAGCCCGGCGAGGCTGCAGGGAGTCCATCACAATGGGAGGCAGGCTTCCCCCAGCACGAACCTCAGCCTTGCTCTGTCCCAGAAGCTCAGCTCCCTTCCCACTCGCCCTGTTTGCTTGGAACCCGTTGGGAATCTTCCCAATCTAAGAGGAAGCAGCTGGGGAGGCCCCCCAGCTTGGCTCCCCAGCCACCCAGGTGCAGCTGAGGGGGGTCGGGGTGAGCACGCTGCGTGCACATCCCACGCCACTCTCCCCTGCTGAACAGCAGCTACCCCCTAATTACCAATAATGGCCTCCGTGTATTTTCAATTAGCTCTCTTGGAAGGGAGCAGCTCCCAGCCACGACTGGTAATTGTACTTTGGCCACCAGCTGATTTGTCATTAGCCGGCAGCGCCAGCGCAGCCCCACGCTGCTCCTGTGGCGGCTGCTGGCAGCGGCACCGGTGCATGGGGGTGCAGCAGGAGGGGGGACTGCACCACCCCTGCCGTCTGCCACAGCATGGAGCAGCGCTGCACGCCGGTCCAGGTGTGTTAGGAGAAAACAAGGATGGGGGGAGAGCATGGATGGTGGCAGAGGCAGATGCCAAGGAGAGAGGTGTGGAGCTCAGCTGCCCTTCCCCTGACACTGGTACCAGCAGGGCAAGGGCAGAAGATGAGTGAATGCAGGGATTTACTAGAGGCCAGAAGGAAACTGGTGAAGTTCTTGGAAGGGTCATCCAGTAGAAGGCACACAGACCACAAGAAGCTTTCACCTGACGTCTTCAAGGATTTAAGAGTGCAGGCATAGGAAGCAAACCATCCCCATCCCACCATTCATACTGCCTCTGCTTCCTAGCTTCCAGCTGGGCAGACTGACTGAGGTGCCAGGAGAGAAAGCTCCTTAGAGCTGCAGCTCTAAATTTGGGCATCAGCCAAAACACAGTCAGCACTTTCTACCCAGGGAGCTCAATGCTGAGAGATGTCCTCGAGGTGAAAGGCTCCTGCACTCTAATTACCACTCACAAATCTCTCCTAGGGGACTCTCAGGGTGAATGCTGGCTGCAGTGAGATGTCCTGTATTTTAATAGTGAGAGGAAAAATTAGAAATCATGGATACTTGGCAATAAGAACTTGGAGAAAGGACTGCAGTGAGCAGAGGGCAGGTGCTTGCTTGTCTGTGGCTCCAGCATCCTGCAGTACAGCCAGGATGGGAGAAGCTGCTCATGGGACCCTGTGCAGAGAGCAGTGCCACAGCCCCTGAAACCCAGAGTGCTGGAGTGTTCTCCACACCCTTAGTTTTACTTTCTGTACTCTGCAGCTGCTGCTTCTCAGTGCTGCTTGTGCCACCAAAGCTGGTACTTGATTTTAAATGAGCTGGAACTCATCTGGCAAGCAGGCAGAGGTCAAAAATCCCCAGTCTGCCTGTGAAACTCTGCTCAAGGATGGACAGTCCCTGCTCCAGCACCAGGGTAGGACAGGGCAGGGTAGAGGAATGACAGAAATTCCAGCAAAACTCATTACTGGGGCCAGGTGCTCACTGCAGCATTGCTGAATAACCTGGTCAGAATAACCTGAACCTCACTGCAGGTCTCTCCCCATGGCTGGAGTACACTCCTCTCCATCCCAGCTTTTGTTGTTGCTACTGTCCCAAGATGCTGTTGAGCCTCAGGACCAGACAGGCACAATGGGAGATTGCACAGGAGCAAGTTTTGGGTCAGGTGGTTACAGGGAGAGTGAAACAAAGTTGAAAGGAAGGAGAAATCAGTCCCCAGAAATCAAAGCAGCTGTCCTAATGCAGAGATCAGTATATTTCACTCCTTGCTGCCTGCCCATCCTTCTGCTCCCCTGTGCTGGCTGCCCACAATGCCCCTGGGAGGGGCAAGAACATCACCATCACAGAGGGCAAACAGCACTCAGTGGATGCTTGACCTTCCCAGCACTGAGTTATAAGTGGGCATCAAAGCCAAAAACACTGTTCTGCTTAGGGAGCCAGCAGAGCCACCTCCTTAAGCCCTTCAGGGACATCCAGCACCTCCCAGAATTTCTCTGTTGTACAACTGCATCTCTCCTCACTGCTTAAAAGTTGTGACCTGCAACACAAGGGACTTTCCCCAGTATGAGCACTCAGACCCAGGACTTTGCATCTGGACAGGGAGCTCAGTGCTGAGCACAAAGCAGTGATGCTGTGTGTGCAGGCCCCAAGGTGGATGGCTGCCCCCCACACGCTTCCTGCAGCCCTCCAAGCAGCCAAGCAGCAATGGCACCATCCCCAGAAAGTCATTAAGTGCATGGGAAAATTATTCTGTGGTAATTGTATTACATGCCATGGCCTCAAACAGAGAGAAGGGAGAAGTAAAGGTGTGCCAAACTGGCTCCAAACCCTCAGTGCTGAAGCCACCCACTCTGGGATCTGGGCTGTACACAGGCACACAATGTTTGCCAGTCTCCTTGGCACAGTGCAGCACTGCTGAAGGTTTGAACATGAACTTAGCTTAAATAAATGAGGAGAAATGGCCTGGCAAGGGACAGCCCCTCTAGCTGTTTTCTATCTCATGGCTTCCCTTAAAACAGGCAGCCCCTAGCATCAACCAGAAAAAATCCCCATGTGATATTTCCTTTAATTTAAGAAAAAGATAGTCTTGGGTGCAACAGCACCATCTATACTGCCAGAAGCAATCTCTGGTGGCAGAGGAGCTGTGTGTGCTGCTGGGAGAGGCACGGCCTCATTTCAGGACTGGTCAGGAGCTGAAGCTGAATACACAGTCAGGCTGTGGAGTTAAATCCCTCTTTGGAGCTCCACACCAACTCAGCAAGAGGAACTCCCCCAGCTTACAGGCCTCCAGCAGCCACACAGTCACCTTACCCTCGGGGCAACAAGGCAGGAGCAGTCACTGGACAGGGTCACATTTGATCTCAGAGCTACCTGGAAGCCACACCCCAGCTCACTTTTTATCCTGTAGTGTGAAGCAGGGGAACAAGAGCTTCCTGTTAGGGGTGTCCACAAGGAGCGAGATCTCTGCGGATGCAGGGGTGTGAGCAACCAGGTTTGCTTCTCAGCCCTGAGCCCAGGCCAAGCTGCACATGGAACCAGCCCACTCCATCCAACCCTGTGCATGGCTGGGATTTCTTTTTATCCTCAGAAAACTGAGTGTCTTTCACCAGCCATCACTACCTACCCCAGGGACACCTGCTAAAGGGGCCACAGCTGGGAAAATCCAAGTAATCTCTGCAAAGCTTCTGTGTTGGCACAAAGCAGCCATGGAGTGTGCACAGCAGTGTCTGCAGAGAGCTCCCACCTCTGCTCACACAGCCACGCTGCCAAAACACAGCTGCAACCAAACCAGCTGTGCCCAGACATTGCTTAACCCAAGGTGCAGCCTGCGGGGTGGAAGTCGGTTCCTGAGGTCTCTTCTGTGTTTGCCAGCCCAGCCAGTGGGAATTCCGTTCCTGGCTTGGGCCATTCCCCATTCTTGTGAGCATGCAGAACACACCAGAGCACATGCTGAGGTCCAGTGCTCACTGCCAAAAACCCTTGAAGGAACAAGAGATCTGAGAGGGCTCAGCTTCCCCAGGTGCCACATTTGTCAAGGGGCGGGTAGGGAAGATACTTGGTTTTCACCTGTTTTGGCCAAACAACAAGCCAGACACATTACTCAACAGGAACAGCCTCCAGGGCTCAATACAGGCGTGCAGGAAGGAGCCACACAACTGACTCAGGGAATAACTGGCTTTGGGGAAGGTTGGGGGAAATCACCTATTTCACCACTTATTTTGATCACTGAATATTTCCCCATTCTTTAGACAATTCCAGGGCTTGGTCACATTGAAGCAAACAAGGAGCAGGATACACAGGACTGAACATTTTGAAAACCTCTGACTTCTTACCAGACAGCAAGCAAACCCAAGATTTGAAACTCTGGAAAATTTCCCAAAAACTTTTTAAAAAACCCCTGCAATTCTTCCAAAAGATGGCCCTCGCAGCAGGTCCAGGCTCTGGCAGTGCTCCTGTCAGCCAGCACCCTCTGTAGCCCAGGAGCTCCTCACCCTGCTCTTCCTGGCTGTTTGGAGCTCCCAGAGCTGGCACTCTGCTCCTGTCAGCTTAAGTACCAGATGGTCCACTGGGAGAAAGCACCCCATGAAGATGACAGTCACCTTCTGGGACCTGGCATGAAGGAGAAACCTTCTATAAAGGCTCACTGGAGCCAGGAAGGGCACCACGTGCCATTTCAGTTATGATTCTTTGCTGGGGGAGGAGGAGTAGGGAGGTGAGAATTAGTGTTTCCCTTCACGTTTAAAGCAATTTGTTTCCTCTCTGCTTATCCTGCTGCTCTGTAATGATGGAAGTGACACATCTGAGCAGCAAGCTCCCCAATTTGGGAGGAGGAGACTCCTCTCCAGAGGACCCTGCTGGAAGGTAACCCACTTCATTAAGGCGAGGAAGCTCACCACCCCTTCACGCTCCACAGCAGAGATATGAAGAGCTCCAGGCAGTGCAGCCTCAAGTGCCAACGCTGGGAGTGCGAGTGGAAAGGCTGATGAGCAGGACAGCTGGCACACGGAGCATCCAGAGTGACACAGTGACTGCTCCCAGCAGCAAAGGGAATATCCCCCCTGCACGAGGTGAGGATGGCACTCCTTAGCCACCCTCCCCTTTCACCATGCCCACCTGCCTGCAATTGCCATTTCTCTGGCATCCCCACTTTATCAGAAGGCACTCGGCTGCCCAGCACTTTCAGAGAGCCTGTTCCAAACACCGGTATGGGCTGGCCAGGTCCTTCTCACATTCCAGGCCAGCAACGCGGTGGGGCTTTTGCCAAGACACTGCGGTCTTGTGTCTGAGCACAGGCAGGACATTCCTGCATTGCTAAACCCAGTACTGCCCCTGCAGCGATGGGAAGGAAGGGAAACGGCAATTTCAGTAAAAGAGGGGTGGGAAGGACAATAGGAAAGAAACAACAGTGTGGTGCTCGGTAGAAGTTACATGCTTCATACAAAACCCCAGGGGATCAGGGTTTTCATCCCTAGGCTGAACCTGAAACGTGGTGGAAATATTATTGCTCCACACATTCCAGAACTGTCTGGTGTTTTTACAGACTGCATCATGTTCTGTGACTTCGAGCACACACTTTGCACGCGGTTCTGAGCTGAGAAGAGTCACTAATGACAAAAGAGGAGAAAAAATAAGAAATCTAAATCTTTAGACATTTAAGCGATGCTTCAACTATCCTTTCCCATACCTCTTTGGGAAAGCGGTGTACCACAAATGCATAAAAAGCCATTCCATTTATTTCTACTCTGTTTGCATGAGGGCTCTCAACTCTGATGTTAGGATGAACACCATCACCTGGTTTATTCCAGCAGAGTTAGCACATGGAAAACAGGACTCTGACAGAAGTTATGGGAAGTGGAGAGGATGGGAAATGCCACAGTAAGGCTCTGTTGGGTGTGTGAGCACAAAGCACAGAACAGCCATGCAGTGGGGCTCATAGAGGAGCAAGGATGCACCCTGGCCATCTGCAAGTCAACAGCAGTCATTCAAATTCAACACACCAGGTTTTTTTAAAAAATATTATTTCCTACTTATTTATTTTTCCTTTAATAACACAGTTTAGCATTTCAGAGTTCAGCATTCTACACTCTTACACACTGTCCTTGTTTATTAGCATTTAAAACACAAAAAGACATAGCAAGACCTCCAAACACAAATAAATACAAAAACACAATATACAGTAAACTGAAATACAACATATAATAATGCTATTGGGAAATTAAGACATGTTGCTAATTCATTTTTTTATTATTATTTTAACAACATGGTTATTGCTGAGCAATAAATTATACATTTTAAAATTGTTTTTCCCCCCCTAAAAGAAAAGGACGAGAACCACTGGTTACCAGATCACTTGCACTGTATCCTTACAGCTATTGATAATTAAGACAGGCAGAATATACACAATCAAATGAGGCTGGCCTTCTTTGGTCTTTGTTTTTGATCATAAAACTGAACACAAGTGTACCGTTCACTGAAGAGTATGAGATTAAAGAAATGGATACACAAGTTTCAAACACATTAATTTGTACATTATTCTCAATCACTGATGTCTTTTCCATAGATAGTTCTCACAGAATTTCTTGGAAACAAATGTCAGCTTTAGTTTTCCCGATTTTTATGTTGTTCCATGCATCTTAAAGGTTATCCTACTTGTCTAAGAGAAATGGACCTACATTTAGCCCATCATCTCCTAATGGGGTATTTTTCACAGCTCTTTAGTCACTACTAATTCATTGGAGTTTTATACCATGTAGAAAAAATCCTGAACTTCCCCATTTTTTTTCTATAAAACTGAAAAAAAAAAAAAGTATTAACCAAACAACAGCGATAAGAAAAACAAAATAGGTGGATTACACGATGCATCAGCAACGATGGAAGCTTGTACCTTCCCATTCCACAAGTACAGATTACACAACTCTCTGCCAGTGATGCAGGTCATAGTTGGAAGATGTGTCCTTTCAGGTGCGAGCTATATTCAAATACCAAGCTCGGAACACTATGCAAGAAATGACCTTTACGAATGGTAATGCTGGTTTATCTCAGTAACCCTTAGACAGAGTCAAATTTTATCACTACGCATCGCACTGCCAGCAATGGAGCGTGTGAACACCGGCATTGCTAAGAAGTTAAAAAGTCCTTGCAGAACTGGCAACCAAATTAAAAGCTTAGTTCCAAAGGACCAAAAACACAAACACCACATAGAGACAACAAACCCTTCCCTGAATGGGTAGGTTAGTAAGCCACAGAGTCGGGATCCAGATTTGAATTCCACATCAAGTCTGGGATGTTTGAATCCAGGGTTTTGGTTCAGGTGCTTCTCTGTGAAATTCAGAACTGATTTGAACCTAAGGAACTAATCCTAACTTGGAGGGGAAATAATGAAAAAACACAGCCTAGTATCTACACTGACATCATGAAATGGAAGACAGAAGCTGCAGTCTTGACCATATATTAGAAGAGAAACAGGAATAGTCAGATCCCTTTTGTATTTTATAACTCTAGTCTTCTAAATCTTAAGAGGATGTCCCTGAATCAGCAATCCAAAGTTTTCCACAACCTTCCTATCTGGTGCTTCTCTGCAAAGGCCTGGATTAAGAGGCAAGAAAGAACAATTAAGCCCTCCAGATTTTGGTTTACAGAAAAAGGGAGAAAGCCCCACAAGGAAGAAATGGTCAGTGACACTGACTGGTAGAACAAAGATGAACCCACTTCACTGTACAATGGTATTTGCCCTCCTTAGTTAAGAGGGGCATCAAACAAGACTGGTTTTGTTGGACAATTCTGAACAGACAGAGCAGGACACAGGTTTGCTGCTGTTACTGACACTGACATGCTGTGCTGGCCTTCACTCCGTGCGTCTGGGCCACCACGCGTGTAACAACCCCAAATCATGACAGCTTGTATGTTTAATTCTAGCCCTTACTGTCCTGATGTGGGTCTTCAGGGTATGTCAACTTATTTTCCAGTTCTTCTAAGGGATAAATATATTAAAAGAGTAAAACCTCGTGATTCAGAGATAACGCTAGGGAACTGGAACCTCTCATTCAGTCCCGGCTCCAGGAGATTCCTTTTGTGACTGTGGGAAAATCACATCTCATCCTTGATTTCCTTGTTCCAAAAAAGAGAAATAGCACTTGCTATACACTGTACACAGTATTAAAAACTGAGATTAAACTGCCAAATCAATTACTTTTATTGCAGTAGCTTTGACTTCTAGGTCAACCAGAATATCAAGGTATTGACTGAACAGGACAGGAATTCCAGGGAAGAGGTCCAGATGCTTTTTATAATTTTTTTTCCTAATTAGAGGAAATAATTTGCAATCAAAAAGTTGCCCATCGCTATAGTTGTTTAAAATACAGGAATCTCCAAATTATCACAACATGAGGAAGAACATGTGTCCTAAATTACAATTCAGAGTCTTCAGAAAAGCTAAATGAAGTGTTTGCTACATACAGGTCTTCAAACCTGAAAGATACGAATCAGTTTGCCCTTAGCCAAGATCCTCCTTTAGCAGCAAGTTATATTTGCACCAATTGATCAAGTATAACTTGGAGGAAAGGGTTTTGTTTCATCACTTCTACATAAAGAAAAGACTTTGCATATTTATGTGCATGCATGTCTGTGTGTATATGTATGTACCTACACACATACAAGTAATTTACAGAGCAAAATCTAAGAGATTAGGTATGCAACCCAGGAATTTCCCCCCTCGCCTATCTGTATATTTGCATAGTTAAATCATATCAAAGGCATCAATACTGCAGTCATGTTTTTCACTCTTCTGCAGTGCAGGCAACTTTCCTTGTCACTCCCTACACGCTTCTCAGTCTTGGACCAAAGAGCACCAGTGTTTTAAAAACTGAACAAAACATCAACAGATACCCTGCACTGTTGGTGAAATGCCTATCCCAGGTGATGGAATACAAATACAAATAGGTGGTAGCTTTTAAACTCCAGCTCAGCAAGCCATAATCATGGCAAGCTGAGGAAACAGAAGCGATACAACCACAGCCTAACATTCATGGGTTCAGCACTTAAATCCCAGCTAACACAAATCTCTATTACCTTTGCATTTGAGAAATTCACCAGGCACAGAAACAGGCACATATCTTCATCTTTCCTTTTCCAAGTAGAAAACACCACAAGAAAAGGAAATAAGCTGCATTTCATTTTTTTCTATGTTTTTAAAAAACTAACGTGTTTTTCCCATCAAAAGTATGCCACCCACCATTCCCTTTTCCTATTGCACATTCTCTTTGTGAAGAACATCATTTACAGTACAAGGCTGAAATCAACATTGCATATTGTAAGTCAGCAGTTGAAGGTGTACCGTGTAGACAGTAACTGAAACAAGACCCCAGTTAATTAGCTCAGAGAAGCAATGCAGACATGGTCATGCATCATAATTGCAGGTTGGTCTTCAAACACCCAAATAGTTTCATCCTGCTTAGGATTCAAGACTTTCTAGGTAACAGGTGCACTCACTCTGTGCTGAAGAGTGTACACAAAGGGCAACATCCAGATTGTCACACACTGGAATCTCCCTAGAGGAAGCTGGAAACAGAAGAGGTTTGTACGTAACTTGGAGCGTCACCGTGAAGAAAGAACACCAGCAAGAGACTTCAGCTGTGTGCTGCTAAGAATTACTACTAAGTAGAGGACAACGTGGTTCCACTGAACGAGCTCTGTTCAAAGTAATGCAAATACTCTGGGACCCCCTGGCAATAGTGGCAGCCCCCAGGAGCTTGCCAGGATTCAAGAGTATACGTAGGGGCAGGGTTTTGTCCCAGAAATCACTTTAAACAGACAGTCCCTAGAAAACTTCGGATATCTCAGTCAGGAACAAAGAGAAAAAGGATAAAGGGCATTTCAGCGATGAGAGAAACAGTTAAATAACTTAAAAGTGTTGAGTAAAGCACCAGGTATCTTTTCCTTTCAACTTAGAGAATATACAGTGGCCTTGTTTTCACAAAATGCTACATACTCCTTGCTGGAAAGCAGAGGAAACCGATTTCTATGTACACAGTAAGAACTCTACAGAGATGGCCTGTGAGTTCTGTGGAGAAAGGGGTGTTACAGTCAAGGCTTCAGGTATTCCACAGCAGGCGGTGTCTACATTTGTGTAGCAAGATCCTGGATTTCACAGTACGCAGGGTTGGCAAACTGGAAATTCTCTGGCAGCTTCATGTAGTTTTAAAAAATAAGTGCAGTAGGCCTCCATTTTATTAACTGTGATAAAAAGCACATATGCAAAAATATTTTTATATCGATAGCACATTACTGCATTATAAAAGCTGCCCAAGTGAAGCTGAAGATTCTGGCAGCTGGTGCTTTTGGCACTTGGGAGATGTGGAAAGCAGCATAGAGATCTGTGAAATACAACAGTGACTGATGTTTCTGCTACAGTGATCGGCATTTAGATAGTTAGCAGTGTTCATATTTAAACTTCTCTGTGAAGTTTCTGAGTCAATATCCCACCAAGACGAGATATTCAGATCTCTTAAAGCTACTAGTTTAGGCTGTGTGCAGACTCAGGAAGACTTCCCTATTGGTTTTCACATTCACATGTTTCAAAGTCCTCAATCACCAAAGGCTGGAAATTATTTTTTTTCCTCCTCTTTTAAAGAGCTTGGATTTAGAAGCACAATTCTGTCACAGAAGTTGGAAACTGTAGTCACAAATCTGCAGAATATGCCGGGCCCTGCTTATACTCAAAATCTCCTCCAAGTCCCAGATTGAAACAGGATATAAACTGTTTTGAGATGGCCAAACGGTTTCATTTAATTTTACAAGACATGCATTAGCAATGGGAGGAGAGTCCTTTGGACATTTCCACTTGGGAATCCTGTTTTCAGTAAAATTCTGTGATGCACAAACACAAAAGCTCAGCTGCCTACATTCACAATTATTAAAATGACACAAGTTGAGCGAACCTTCGCCCTAAAGCGTAAGTGATGGGTTTACTTATGCAGCCTGCATAAAACTGCAAGTGCCATACAATTATATCTAGAGATATAGATGCAGGTATATCTGTAGATATTTATGTCTTGTGCAGAACATCCTCCTTCTGTGCTAGAAATTAAATGCTAGCACGTGCCTCCATATTTGAGCTTGCACCTGTTGACAGCCACGTACCATAGAGGGAGTAAAGTACCCGGACAATGGAAGGCAAGAAAAGGAAGACAAGTTGCTGCTGACAGTCAGGACAATCAGCAGCAGGCAGTATTCTAGCAGGTGCCTGGAAAACCCATGAAGACCACTTAGCATGCATTGTATATCCATAAATACTTCTTGCAGGCACTGTGTGTGAAGGCACAGCCAAAAAAGACAACGGCAAAGACAAGCTGAAATACAAAGGCATGAATTCAACTGCACCTTAGACAAAAATTGTGACTATGCCTCAAAAAAGCAGAAAACGGATACAGCCTGACACTAAAGGCTGAGATGCAATAGGTTTTTCAAGCCCACGAAGGCTGAAAACACAGTGGTGCAAGCCTGCTCTGCTTAAGCAGGATTTTAAAGAGCACCACAGTCAGGCTGTGTCTCTGGACTTGCTTGTCACAGGCTATTAAATAGAAGCAGATGAACACAGCAGGTTGCAATCAGCATGTTTCAGGGCTAGCAAACGCTTTTCACTACAGTTGAGGCTGTTACAAGAAAGAAGCCCATGCATTCCCCATTAGGATGCTTGTCTGCTATGAGAAGCTGCCACGAGCATCCATATTCACAGCCCCAGAGTTCTCAGATGGATTAGTTTCAAGTGATGCCACCTTACAGCCACAGGCATTAGAGGAAAAATGTTGCCTGCCTTTGCAGTGGCCATGGAGACTGTCTAGTCCAAGCTCCATAGGAGCACTGAGCATAACGTTTTGGCACCTCAACAGGATGGATTCCACCATGGCCAAGTCATAGAAGCTGCAGAAGCCAAAGCAGAGGGCTTTGGCCTCTGTTTCGTACATTGCAAGGTACCTAAGGGCTCTGAAGACAAGGCTAAACATTATGCCTGAAGTCCAATTAAACTACCATTTCAGATATCAGAATTAATCTGAATAAAAAGCTATGGTTTATAAGCAGCACAGCACATCTAAGGCACATGTATGCATGCAAGCCACCATCACTGTATTAAGACATTGCTGGTTTGTCTTGAAGCAATGGCTGCTAGTACAGAACAAACATAGAGGCTTTTTTCAGCACTAATCCTCCTCCCCAATACTGAAAATACTATATACTGCTGACAGCATAATGTGCAACATATATAGCTTGATTGGAAAGCATGGGGCAGAACTTTAAAAAATGTACAGGATTCCGTTTAGAACTCCAAAGTTCAACAAATGCCCTATTTTAGGGTGAAAACAATTATAAATCTGATAATGATGCACAGCATCCATGAGTGATTTTTCCTTAATTTTGAAATAGTGTCATTAACTACGACATATATTGTAGGTTTACATTTCTAAAGAGAAATAACAGAATTGAATAGTTTTTTTTTCCTATCACAAGTGATAACCAGTGTTTGATATCTTCTATTTTTTCTTCCAAGAAATATCAGTCTATCAACAGTTTTAAAATAAAATGTTTTCTGTAACAATAGAACTTTAAATAAAAATATGATTTTGATTCAGATACTTTTGAGAAGACATGGATACTTTTCCAAGATCTTCTGACAAAGTAATTATTAAAACAGAGACCAGATGAGGCCTTAAAAAGACAATATACTATATTTCAGACAAGATTGCACCTCAGTTTTTCAAAGAATATCATAATTGCAACATTACTTCATCTTCTTTTAACATGCTGACAATTTCCAGCTAGCCCACATGTGAAGGGTTTTTCTTGTATTCTAGCTTAAAAGAAATAAAAGTCAGTAATTGATTCAGCACATACTGTATATGTCTTTTCACCTCCAATTGACTAGATCATTAATAAGTTAAAAAAAATCCTCTCTGACCATAACCACTATCCTGACGAGGGATAAGTGATTCGTCAGAGCTCAAGTGTTGCTAGTTCTATTAAAAAATATACCATGGTATGATTTCTTAATGTGTTGCTACTTTCGCAATTGGACCCTATGCAGTTATGCCTTCAAACTCTTCCATCTGTTCCACAAGGTGGTTCTGTGAGCTTTAGGACCTCTGATTGAAGACAAACTGATACAAAACCCCCAAACGGAGTTGCCTTCTGTTTAATCCGCCTCCCCCAGTGTATGTCAGGGGTCTGGTAGATCCGATGTATCCACTATGACTTTAATAAAAATAGTATCATCTTTAATATACGTTCCATTCTCTAGAACAGTTTGAGCCACAAAGACAGGGCAGCCAGATGCAATGTTCATTTCTCCAGTTGGCTTCTTGAAACTGCTGCTGTTCGGATCTGGCTTGAAAGCATCTCCCAAGTGGCGTCGAGACGGTCCCTGATCCATGAGCATGAGAGTCACTTTCTGTTTGAAGGGCCAAGGAAGCAAAGCATCGTATTCTCCACGCATGATGACAAAAAACAGAGACAAGTGCGTCCCCTTTCCCATGCCATCCCCGTTCAGGTAAACTCTGGCACACATCTTGTAGCCAAAGTATCCAGTATAAAAGGGCTGGCTGTACAGGGACAGAGTCTTCCCCATGACTGCTTCTTGCTTCCGACGTTTATAGTCTCGGATTTTCCAGATCAACACCCCATTGTAACTGGCAGTTTCCAGGACCTGGAAGCGCAGGTCCATGTCAGCCAGCCGGATGTCGTGAACGCTCAGCATCTGGTCGTGCCTGCTCAGCTGGGTCTCCAGCAGGCCTGCCAGAAACAGAAAGGATGGGGGTGAGAAACTGCTGCTTACTAAAGGCTGTAATAATAATAATTTCATACCAGTGCTAGTACTGGGTATGAAAACACTTCCCTCCCTGAGAACCAAAGTGCATTTGGCCACTGATGAAGCAATTTCTACAGGCTCTAATTTGCTGGCCGATGTCTAGGTTAGCTGGGATTTTTACAAATGTGGGTGTTAATTGTACATGCAGTAAAAGTCAAATATTCAAATCATCTAACAGATTTTTTTCCTGGCTACTGAACAGTATAACTAGAGGCTTCCAGTTTTTGAAAGGAGACTTGGTAGCATTATCTGCAGATTGCTATTTAGCAGGTAAGACCTTAGAAGTTACACATCCTATGTAATCCCTCTGAAATTCAGAAGCATTCTTGATCACTCAAAACATTCTTTTTAGACACTATTTGTCTCAGAAGCAAGTGCTGTTACAATGCAAAGTTCTGCATTAAAAAACAAAAAATTTCAAGCTTAGATCTGTATTATATGGTCATTTATTTAGCTTGGAGTGAGAGCTATGTCTTCTGTGTCCCCTTTCCCTTTCATGTTACTCTTTTGTTTTGTTACTGGCAAAATTGACCAACACACAATACTGAGAAGCAGATGAATTCATAAGGCAGGGTTTATCTTACACAAATCTATTTAAATGTTCTTTGTCACAATCATTTAAATGCTTGCATGTGATCTACACTGTCCTGCTGAATTCCAGTCTTTATTCAGAAGCATAACAGCCTTATTCTTAAGCAGATCTCCGTTTTCTTAGGATCAAATACACCTGTCTAATAGAATCAGGATGGGTGGTTTCAGGTGGATAACCATACTGATCCATTCACAGGGGAGAAGAGTAGTAAAAAATGTCAATATACCACGACTATATTTAAAGAAGCTGCTGAAAGCTATTAGCTATCAAAGATCAATTGAGAAACTGTTTATAATGAGCTAACAATGCAGTCAAGACAAGAGTCAATAAAACAAAAGAGAAGACAATAATTAGGCCTAAGAAAAAGCATGGAAGCAATGCCACACCATCAACACATGAAATACACTATCTCCTACTCAAAAATCAGAAGAATCAGCATTACTGATGTTTCCATATAAAAGTCACAATGGGAGTGCCACTCAAGGGACACTGTTTTCCTCTCAACAGCACCTCAGCCCATTGTGCTCACACTCACTTGTATTCCGAGCTCCTTGCCCTGCAGTTTTATCAACACTTTCCAGCTCAGTCACTCTGTTCTGGAGGGATTCCACGCTGCTCTTCATGCTGTCAGCCTCCTCCCAGTTCTGTCGGAAGGGACGGATTTCTTTGTCCAGTTCTTTGAGTTTCTCTGCTTGACTGTCTATCACTCGCTTTATAAAATAAGAGCACACAAGTTAAAATAACACAAGGACATTAATTTACGTAAATTAAGCAAAGATTATATGTTGGTAATAAGAATGAATTCCAATATAAACAATTTTTGCTTTTGTCTAGTATTTAATAACACAAACCTTGAAAATTTAAAGGAATAGCCCAGGTATTTATGAAACACTTAAAAAATCTTTAGTGCTGCATATCAGAATTAGCAATAGCCTTGTTTTAAAAAAGGGACTTGTTAGTGTGTACCTATTTTCTAAGGCAGTTTGATTTTTGAGGTTTTTTTAAACTTCAATGTAAGAACAATTTTCTGGATGTCTCTATATTGGTATTATGGGCTGATACCTGTTGGGTTTCATGTGACAGCACTTAAGCAACAAAATATGGGCACAGCTTCCTGTGGTGTGGATCAAATGGCTGTGTTTATATTGGTTTACAGAAAAATAACTTATGCCTCCAGGAAAACATCATTATTCTTGCACACATGGAATATGAGTACACACATGTGCAAGCTCCCAGCTCACATAAATCAGTCATCAAAGCCTAAGTTATTATGTGCCCACAACCATATCAGAAGCCCTCAAGAATGTAAATGACCACTTCTGTCCCCTTAAGTACCTTTAAAATTCCCACTCTTACTTCCTAAACTGAACAACCCATGCATTTTGAAGGTATTTTCTGTTGAGTCTTTCTAAGAAGAAAACAAAAAAATAGCCCAGCTGGTTTTGGAAAGGCATGAAATATAACACTCAAGAAAGAAACAGACAAAAAGGCCAGTATTCTCTCAAAGAGGGACATTGCAAGCACCTTAGTATATTAAAATATAAAGAACATATTTCCCATCTACCTCAAATCCAATGCAAGAAATACACAGCACTTCACATTATCACAGCTAATTTGGACTAGCAGGAATTTTAGCCAGAACCCTATAATCAGTTGTGAAGTTCAAATGATAACAAAAATATCTGAGAGAAGAAACTACTTTTGCTACCACCTACAGTTAAATTCCAAAGCTAACTTTATAGCTTTATAGTTTATCATCATATAGAGCCAACAAACGTAAAAATGATTTTTCATTTCTTCACAAAAATAAAGTGGCAGTTGAGTACAAAACAAGAAAATAAATTTCTTTTGCATTTGCCTTCTGGTTGGCCATGTGGGATTCAGTGTTCCCCACTGATGGGGAAAACCCTTCTGCCCTTTGAGCGGTTTGCTTTTAATCACCTGGTTTCAGTTGTACTGAAAGTCTGTAACCATTAATTGAAGGTTGTCAATTTGATGAGCCAGCTAGCAACATCAAGTTCTAGGAGTCTTATTTTTTGGCTCAAAACAACTGAGCAATCTAACATATTTCAGGATTAACTATTTATTTCTATGTTCATGTTTTAAGACAAGTTATGTAACTCTCACTTCCAGAATTAGGGCTTTGTGAAGGAAAGCTGTGCACTGAATCATAAATGCCAGGGGTATGGGCCCAGTAAATATATGAAGCAGCTTGCCTGGACTTATGAAACACCACCTACCAACACAGTCACACCCTCCCACCTGGGCTGATGGTAATCAGACAGTAGAGCAGGGAAGGGCTGTTAGCCATATAAATAAGGAAACATACCACAGCATGGCCTGACTGCATGTTGGGAGAGCAGAACCAAAGGATTTGGTCACTAGTTCACAGTTAACATGCAAATGTAACTTAAAATATGCCCAAGTCTGATATTTTTCCTTTACTCATACCACACATGAACTTTCCAAGGCAAGAACAGTAACGTGGCCGGGGTTTGCACAATGCTCACAGCTTGCACCTCTTTGGATTAACACAGCATCAAACAAAATAAATGATCACATTTTTATATGAAAGGGGAAGTGCTAAACATGCAGAACAATTCTAAGCTATTCTTCTTGGGAGAAGTCTACCCAAAGCTGTTACTAGGGGCTCAATTCTCTCCATCAATCCGTGCAACATTCTACTTTTGTACACGTATAACCAATTCTGGTTTAGCTGCTTCTGTTTCACACTGGCAAATGTGTACCATTTTTATCTACTGTACCTTGATATAAGAATTCAAGAGATATAAAATAATCAGAAATAAGACTTCTATTTAATTTTTAAAAAGCAATGGGATCTCTGTCTTTTTACCCTACAGGGAGTCAACCTCCCTCCTGCTGGGAGATACTGATGTACTAAATCTGAATTAAATGCAGCAGTGGAGATTTTCACTCTAATTATTCCATTAGAAAGCACACGGATGTCTCACACTGTACTCATAAATTTTCAAGTAGATATCAATTTTCTGCATGCACTTTTCATTCTAGCAACTGACCTCTCTGGATCATTAATTCCGAGTTATGTGCTTGGCAAACCATTGTGAGCTCCTTTTGATGTTGATTTTCATACAGGGTTCTGTTTAGCATTTCTACTAACTTCCAGAATTTTAGCTATACTTACTAAAAGAATTTCAGAAAATGGCAGAAGGAACTGAAGAGCTGTAATGACCTTTCCATTGCAACTGATAGGTCGAAACTGAAAAGCTGAAGAACAGACTAGAAAAGGTACTGCTTGACTTGGAAAAGAAATCACGTGTCCTTCTCCTCTGAGGAAAGGTATTACTCATCAAATCATTTTATGTTCATGAGGCCACCGTTTCTTTTGTCCCTCAGTACCTCACGTCTCCACCCTGCTTACAATGGGCTTACTCACATGCTTCCATTTCCATATGAAAGACTGGACACTGCAGGTGAAAGTTCCTCTCCATATGACAGCAGCCAAAAAAAGTATCACACACCCTTGGTAAAAACACTTTCCTTAAAGACCAATATATAGAAAACTCATCTGAAAACAAGAGGCTCCTACCAGTGCCCAGACTCCCTTGATGCATTTACACTGTGTCAGATGCCTCACAGTGCAGATGATGCTGTGATGCTGCTGCCACTCCCCAGCCAAAAAGGTCACCTGACAACCAATACTGGAACTGTACCAGACATCAGGAGCATTGGTAGGTCTTGGGGGACTAAGCAAATACCCCTTGCTCAGACCTGGACTGGTTAGTGCAGTATCTCTGGCTCCCAGGCAACCACAGCTGCTCCACACAACCCAGGGGAAGAATGGCTCACAAAAGGTAACTAATTCCTTCTACTCCTTGTGGGCAACAGAAAGAGACTGATCATGTTGTCCAGGAAAAAACAAATTGAGGCATGTTTCCAGGATACCCTTAACAATCAGACTGAACCAGGAAATTCTGCTAAGTGGAAGGAAACAGGTTGAAATAGCATTGAAATACAGTTCGGCTTAAAATAACTAAATTGAAATAGCTGGCAAGAGGAAGTAAAGAGCAGGAGGGGGAAAAAAAAAAGAAAAAAAAAAGAGCAGAACATTTTCTCCAGTACTTATTACCACCACAAAGCCACTTGTTGGAATTTGCTGCTTTGTAGTGGTTTGGGGTTTTCTTTTTTCCTAAACCAATCACTCGAAAATTGATTTTGCTAACACTTACAGCTCGAGGAAAAAGATATTGCAATCTGTCATTTAAGACAATAATGAAAAACTCTGCTCTATGTTTTTTCCATTTCCACTCTCACTGCTGGCCATTGAGACAGCATGTGTAAGAACTCCAGGCTTACAAATTAACTTACCTCCTGGTAGATTCAATCAGCAATATCAGTACATACAAGGATTAGCTCCCCAGTGTCAGAATGCAATATTGCAGGCAGGCAGCCATATCCCAGACTATCATCAGACAAGTAACAATGACTAAGGCTGAGCTGGTTACTAAGTGGGCAGGTCATGGAAAGAAATTACTGCTATAAGGAAAAATGTTGCAGTTGCCAAACTTGAAGGTATCCTTACAAACCATCATCAAGGGTCTCCAGGCTCTGATCCCCTGAATGTGCCACCCTTCGAATTTTAGCCACACACCAGTTTGGATGCCTTTATCTTTCTTGAGTTATCAACATTTGCAGTTTATAAGTGAAGTGAATAGTAAGTGAAAAAGATAATTTTATTTACATTCCTTTAAGGTGGATGCTACAACAAGTATCTGATATTCTAGCAGCAGACATACTAGATTAATGTGTACATGATATCTCCACAATTCCTTGCTAAATATCTCCTGAAGTTTCCCTTATTGTGGTTAGTATCATGCAAGCTAATACAAATTCCCAGCACCCACATTCCAAGTCAGCTCTGAATACAGAGCAAGGAATTTCAGCTTGGGCTAACCACCATGCTAGGGCACCCTGAGGATTTCTAGTTTCATGCTGGCTTGTGACCAGCATTCAAAACACAGAACATGAAACTCAGACCTATCAGCAAAGGAATAACTAGATAAATTTTCCTCAGAAGAACAGAAATTTGGATTTTTAAAAAGTGTATTCAAATGCATTATGCTATGTTTGAATTAAATCCACACCAGACTAATCTCACTCACAATTTGCATTTTTTTTTATACCAGCAAGTAGAAAAGGAAGCTATGTAATACTCGACAACTTTAAGGTGCTAATCTTGTCCTTCAGTGGGACTTCCTTAAGCAGTTTTTTTAAGTAAAAAAAGATTATTCTTCCTATAGGATTTGTATTTTGTTTCCAATCTTTTCCCTTTTTAAACTTTTTTTGTTTGTTTTAACATAGGCTAGGCAATTGCAGTATTTTAGTGAAGTATCTTACCCCACTGAACACAACAAACCACATAAATTATCAGAATGGCTCTCTAATAATGTAAAAGAGTTTTAGTGAAGTATCTTACCCCATTGAACACAACAAACCACATAAAAAATTATCAGAATGGCTCTCTAATAATGTAAAAGATCTCCCCCCCATTTTAATTAGACCACCTCACTTCACAAGTGTAAAGGCACAGAACAGAGGCTACTACCATTTCTGCTTTAATGGGGAGAGTCCATATTTCTTACCTGTAAATGAAGTATTTTAGATTCATTATTCCGCAGCATTTCCTTCTGTCTTTCAATTTCTATTTCAAAGCTACAAATCTGATTATGTAAAGTTTGTATACTCTTGTTCTTTTCCAAACTTTCATTCTGGAGCAAGGCCACCTGGAAAAAATTCTACAATTACTCCTGCCAAAGTTTATTAAAATATCTATGTTAGTTTAAAACTATCTTAAACACACAAAAGGGATAAGATCCTAATAAAAATCTCTCTCCACGTATTGCAAATAAATAAATAAAACCCAACTTTCTGATAGCTAATTTTGCACTTGCACTGTATGGTATTGGTACAACTTTGGCTAAAGAAAGTGCAGATGGGACACAAAACCAGCAAAGAATTTGTGTCTAAATGTAACATTTTCTTTATTCACTTGTTTAATGGCTTGGTTTCCTGGTTTCCACCAGCTGACTTGGGAGTTGCTTGGAGTTTGGAAGAAACAACCTAATTCACTCTGAATTGGTGTTAAGAACTTGAGCCCTGCACCGAAGTGACACCAGAGACAAGCTGAGCTGGTTGGATCAGGGAACACTAATCTTCTTCACCTACTCCAATCTGTCCTGATCTATAGCAAATTTAAGGAAAAACATCTGCATGGGACTGACTTAAAGAATGTGATGGCAATGAAAACTCTTGAAATGAATGAATATAGAAAGGATCCATGCATTTGAAGGACAATCCAATGGTGCCTAATAGTAGAAAAGACCAAAGAACTACAGGCTGTGAATTACATTCTCTCTCTGTACTGACATTTTATGAATTTATTCATTAGTGACTCATTCTGTTTTTAAAACACGAGTCTTGTTAAAAGAATATCGTATTATATATCTCCTTGGGGATGAAAGTAATACAGTAAATATTTTCTGTCACACTGCTTAGTGCTTGTTCATTAATGTGGTTTGGAGAAGGGGGCTGCTTGGTGGTGGTGCATTGCTTTTTTGAGAAATGTAGTTTTCCCCCAGGCAAGATCATTCAGCAGCAAAAATGCAGAAAACAAACACTTGGCACAAGATTATGTTTGGACATGCCCTAACTATTCCACAGATAGATCTTCAAACGGATATGACACAGCACCACTTCAGACCCAAAAAAATCTTGATAGATGTTTCACATCATGACCAATTACTTGGAAGTTTCATGTTCTCAAAAAAAAAAAAAAAAATCTACTCCTGGCCTCTATTACAGGTGCTAGTTTGAGGTTAAGCCATTTTCACCCTCTGATGTGGGTGCCACTGCAGAATTCCATCCCCCTAACTGCCCTCTAATCAGACACCAACACCAAATCCCTTATGTGTCACTGCATTCCTAGCAGAACCCAGCCTGTTTGAAAAGGTAATTCATCTCAAATCTCTAAACCAGCCTAAACTAGACAAAGGACTGTCAAAGTCCACAGGCATTCAGCAAGTTCTTTAGATGGGGCCCAAAAATACGGAGATACCATAACATATATGTGGGTATCTACTTTTCAATATAGTACAGCACAGCGTGTGCATATACACACATTCTGCACTTTATACATGGAAAAAAAGAAACTCAACAGAAATGAGACAAAGCTAAGTTTGTCAGTGCAGAGAGAGAAGCAATACTGAGGCTGAAGGAATACATGCCTAGGTACTAGAAAAAATTTTCAAGAACAATTTTAAATTTAAGCCAGTACCTCTGCCTTCCAGATATTTAAGATCTGCTGGGTGGACGCTTAATTTTTTTGCATCCTTCATTTCCTTAGTGAATCAGAGTTCTTTAGTTTAAGTGTGATCTTCACATTTCCTTTTTCTCACTGTTTCCTCCCCAGGCCTCCCAATCACAAGGCAGTTATGCTCTGGGTCACTAAGCATCGCATTTCCATTTTTGTACAAGTTATAAAACGTGGGCCTATCTTGTACTGAGATTTTCCACACAGCTTTACAGAATACAAGAAAAGTAGAATTATGTCCTGTGGTCCTTAATCATACAGAACTGTCATTGCTAAGTCAGCAATTGTAGTTTGGCTGTGATTTGTGAATTAAAAAAAAATAAATTAATGCTAAATAGTTTCCCAACTATAGTTTCAGCATAAGTCTTTGGAACTTCAGTTTAAAAAAGGGTTTAAAAGAGAAACACAGCATCTAATTAGAAATTGCATCCTTTACTTAGTTGGCATGTTTGAAATATTCCTAGGAAAAAGCATGCTCTTATTCAGCAATTTTGCAAGTTAAGCTGTTGCATATTGTTGTTTACTAAAGAAGAATGGAAAAAACCATATGCCACAAGAAACTGTAGTCAAACAGGTTCCATATTTAACTCTCATAGTAAAAAAGAAAAAACAGTTTATACCAGTTTTCTGTAAGAATGTAATGAAGCTACAAAATTACGTTCAACTGATTATTTCCAACATTAAAAAACTGTGGGAGTTCAGTCTGCAATTCTACACCATCACAGGGGAAAAAAGCACTGAATTTTAATTCCCTGCACAAAGTTTTGATTCAAGATTTTACATCTGACCTTCTCTTACTACTCTTTACCACCAGCACCATTCAATACCAAACTCCTAACTTAGGACAAGCTTTGCAGCTCTGAAGACTTCCAGTCTGCCTACTCCACATGCACTGCTACAGTGTGGTGAGTGGGAGAAGAGAACTTCTCCTTTCCCCTCCAGACGTACCACACAGAGAGCCCCAAATGAAATCTTGACCCTATACAAACTAAGAAGACTTCCACTGGCTTCAGCAGGGCTGAGATTTCTGAGATACCCATCAGCCAAGGTGACTGTGCACCGTTGTTCTTCAGTGCATTGATTAATTTTTTCCTCAAAGAAGAGCACAGCAGTGAAGTTACAAATCATTTTGTTACCCTTCCCTAGAATAAAGTCACTGACATATGACATGTGGTTAGCTATTCTGGTAACTTGGCACTGGCTTGGGATTTCCAGTGATTCAACTCTTTATTATGAATAGGAAGAAGTCTATAAAGCAGGAAGTAAAAAGAACAAAAATGGACATATGATGATAAGCAGTTATGTCCTAAATGAAAGTTGAAACAAAAGTCAAGCATAAAACAGTAGTGAAGTGTATCATCTCTAAGGTCTGTAAGAGACAAACATAGAACCACTGGGCATTTTTTAAATGACAAAGTACCTCTCAGGACACTGAGAAAAGGCAGAACATGATCTATTCTGCAAGTCACAGGGAACGTGGGTTTTTTCCTATGATGTAAAATAAATTGTGCAGTTTTCATCAGACTAATGCAAAACGAACTAAGGATATGAATCTGTATCTCTCACAACCAAAAGATGTAAAGTTCCTATATTGACAAAGTTTCAGATGCAAAAGCAAAGTTGAGTAATGTTATGGATCGTCAAACTAAGAACTACCTACACATATAGAAAAAATTCTATCTAAAAGAATCTGTATTAGAACTCTGCCAGGTTCAATGGCTTCCTTAAGAGGCTTCAAGTTCAAAACCAAGCAGTTCAGGAACAAACACACTGGGGGCAAAAATCATATTACACTGTTCCAGTGAATGTCTGCTTTAAAACTACAATTCCTGCAGCTGCATGACCTTGCTGGAGACCCAGGCAGAAGAGATCTCTGTAGGCCAAGAAGGGAATGTGCTTTCCAGACAGAGTTTGCTTGTGATCTGCTCTGAGATGACAGAAATCATATCCTAATTGCCACTGAGCTTACACTGGAATTGCTACTTGTGAACTCATTTCAGAAAAGTCTGAAGGGGGCTTCTCACTCTTGAGCCTGCATTTGTAGAATACTTTGGTAATTCTGGGATCTTCTTTCCCCTAAAAATACAGAAACATCAGTTTGATGTCTATGTAAGACTTTTTCAAAAGGATTTAAAAAACCAGTAATCTCTTCTAAAGTTTTACATTTTTTAAATTAAAGGCTTGAATTTTATTCACAGAACATGTGGTTTGCTCATTCAAGCTTATTGACAAGATCACAGCTGATACAACTCCCAGCATCTCCCAAATCCCAAACAGTTTAAAACCTGGAGTCCCAAGGAAACACTGCAACATGAACTTCATGCTGGTCTAGCACTAAAGCAGACATCATCATGCCCATGAGTCACAATATATTTAATTTAATTAATCTGTGCAGGTCTTTAAGTTTGGAGAGCAAGAACAAAAATAAATAATATAAATAACCAGTTTATTACACACTGCTGAAGTTATGTCAGGAAAAATTATGAGGTAGTAAAGATAAAGCTCATTGTGCTGCCATGGCTTTCTGAACTCTGTTCTGTAATAAGGCAGCTCAGAGAGGAAATATAATACTATACTGTTTATTTATCTGAAGAAAGTGTTTTAATTAAGTTATCAATGAGGAAAATTGTCCATGGAATTGCGAAGCCAAGTTTCTCACAGCATTTTTTTATATAACAAAGGTACAAAGATATGCTAACTGGCTTGATAGCATTTGAAGCCTATTAGTGCTTTAGCTGTAATGCTGAACAGCTGTAAAACAGGAAAAAAGCGCTTCTTCCAGTACTTTTGTATGATTTAAAGAAGTCAATGAAAATTAGAAGTGAGTAGAAGATATACCTTATTTTCTAGAGCATTGCTCCACTCTTTCAATAAGTTAACATGCTGCACTGCTGAGCTGGCTTCATGTGCTTTAATTTGTTGGTTTGTTCCCTGTGACAACAAAGAATTTATACATTTTAGCCAATTCCACTTCTTTTAAACCTACAAAGAAAGAGTATATAAAGACATCGAACCAACACTACATATTTTGGTTCACAGGTGCTTGTTGCAGAACTGTAGAGAGGAGGGAAATCTACTTGGAATTTGCAAAAATCAGGAATACATTTAATATAGCAAGTGTTTTATACAACTGCTATGTATCTCCATCCAGTGTGCTTGATAACTCAGAAACAATAAAGATGAACAAGATTTACAAAATGAGTTGTATTTTAGAGTCTTTTGTGTAGCTTAGAACTAAACAAAGCACAATAAAACCCTTGAGTCATATAAAATCTGAAACTTCCAATTCCACTAACTGTAATTTAAAACTTCCGTTCTATTTCATTAACAGCTTCATAAGCATTACATTTTCCTTCAGCTGAATATTAAAGACAAATATTTAAGATAAATTTATCACTGGAAACTGCCAGCTTTACAAACTACACCGAGAATTATTACAATGCCTATTTTGTCATGTTTAGATGTTACCATGATTGTTCCATGATATTCAGATATGCTGCCTCTGCACAACCTATAAGTGCTGTTACAAATAATCACTGTATAGTTTACAGAACACACATAGATTATATACAGAGTACATAAGATGCAGACCACATTACTTACTTCATTTGTATTGTGTTGCTTACACCTACTTCAGTAAGTGCTTTGCAATGCAGAGAATATTAGCTTTGATGGTAGATAGTGCTGCAAAGCAACTGAAAGGGTTTCAATGATCCTCAAGGTATGTACTCTATATAAAGTACTAAAATATATATGTGGATATATGTACATATATGCACACATATACATACATAAAATGAATGGCAATACGTACAACATAACAGTGGGCAGGGTTACAGCATTGATCAGTTCTACCACTAAGAGCATTACTATTAACACTTAAAAAGATGAATGCTCATTATTTAACAGCCTGGAAATACCTGCAGGACATCATCTATAGAGACGTGTTGCTCCTCAGTGAGTCCTTGTCTTTTTCAATAGCCATGGGCTAACAAATGAATCATTCTATCAGATAAACGCCATTTTTTCCCGTCAGTGGTTTCTGAAATGTCCTGACTAATATTTTCATTACATAAGCATCCAAATTCCCCAGGATTTATGGTAAGTGAAGCAGAATATTGGAAGAAACTGGAATGATACTACTGAAACTAAACTCTCAGGTTTGACTTTATTTTTTTTTTAATATTGCAGGGATTGCCAGGATTAAAACCTAAAACTTTTTTTAAAAAATAAATTTCATGCTTTGATTATACACCTGTGTGCACACAGACATATTAATGCACATAAAAATACATGTTTTAAGTGTGCTAACCTACATGTAACCTCAATTAAAAATATTAAGACACACAAATGAGAGAAAATATAAACATACTTAGTTCAAGAAAATGCATTCATAGAAACAACTGAAGTTACTAGTTTATTCTCTGAAGAACTAAAGAGACTGTCCTCTTATCCTAAGTTAACAAGTTCTTCAAATGTGTCATATTCCTATTTCAACAAGATACACCTAATACCTGAACTCACAAACCACTGCAGGAATGTGTGGGCTTTTTGTGTTGTTTATTTTTAAAATGCAAAATCAAACATCTCCTGTATAATCACTTGGTGCAACTGGATGATTTTCTTAACGGAAACTAGAGAAGTCCAGAACTTTCATGTCAAAGAATTAAGTTCTATTTGCAGACTTTCATCAATTGGGAAGTATAATTGTTATATACTGACCTGAAAAGTGCAGCCATAACGCTTAAAACTACAGGTACTTGGGGCATTAATACATTCTGACAAATGTGCATTCAACTGCAATAGGAAAAAAATGTGAGTTTTGGCAAAAAGACTTTTGCATGATAACATAAAGGGCAGAGGTTATCAGGTTTGTATTGTGTGCCATTTGCAGAACATACAACACACATGTGTATATTTTCTCCAGTCTGCTCTCAAGTGCTAATTCTGTATATACACATATGTAAACCACACGCACATGCCAATACAGTATACAGTGTGATACATTTAATATACAGTGAAACTTCTACCAAAGACTATTTCAATGGGCAACCCAATTAAAAAAAACTCAAAACAAACAGAAAGAACATACTCTGTAATTATTCGATTTAATTTGACTTTCGTGAATGGCTAATCTTTTCTCAAAAAGTGATTTATTTTTTTTACTGGTGCTCTGAGCAAGTCTTAAGATCAGTTTCACTGTAGTAAAAGTACGTTTTTTTTCTAATCCTAATTTCACAAGGAACCAACTTTTCAAAACATAACATGCAATTCTCCGTGCCTAAATTTAACAGCAAAATTACACAAAAAAGACTAAACAAGTACTGCATGAAACAGACAAAGAGTTTTAGAATATGTACAGTTAAGTAACTTTAAAAAAATGCAGTACACGGGATTAAAACTGATTAGTAAAATGCCTGCATTTTTCACAGATTGAGATTTAGTCCAATATCTTGGATTATTACAAGCACAGACCATTTTTCATTTAAAAGTCAACCAATTCACAGAAGCATATACATATACATGGACAGCAGCAGCACAGATGGCAGCAGCTGGATGCAAACTGCCTAAAAGTTGGAGCAGAGAGACATTTTTGGAAAGGACAGCCTAACAAACACTCTCCTTTCAAAAACAGAGTCTGCAGTTTGTATTTCCCACAAAGCAGACAGGAGCCAGAGCCTGGCTCCTCAGCTGGCATCACTCTTTTGGGCTGCAGAATCTCATCTGAAATTCCCACACCTTAAGCCCCACATGACTCAGCTCATCCACCTCCCTGGAAAGAAGTGGTGAATCAACACTGCTCTCAATGTGTAGCTCTGGAACAGACAAAAGAGTCTTTAAAATCTCATACTGAGATGCCATCAGTCACTCATCTCTGATTCACAACTATTGTGTTCTAAACACTACCTGTAGAAATTCACAGTATCATTTCAAAAGACATGTAGTGGAGAAAAAAAAAATGAAGTAAGAAAGGGACATGTGGTCTAACAGGTTTTACAAGAACGCCACATTTTTCAACTTCTGAAAAGCAGAAGTCTGCCAAAGAGTTATGAATTAAACATGAAAATTGCCTTTTATTCTACAATAAGATATCCACTTGTACACTACAGAATTTTCTCAAACTGTTAGGCAGGCATTTTCCCATTTTCTCCATTAGACTTCTTGTCCCTAATCATGCAACCAAGAAATACATACATTTTCACAGTATTAGAAAAAAAAAATTAAGCAACATACAGCAACAGATGATGCAGGGCAAAGGGCTGTTTAAAGTTCTGTTCCTACCCATGGTCTCAAACCCCATTCAGACTCTGTGTGTAACAACCCAGCCTTTAATGGTGCAGCCCTTACAAGCACTCAGACACACCTCTTCTGAAAGTAACTGCTGAAGTCGGGGCTTAAGAATAAGCCAAAGTGCTCCAGAACCAGGATCTAATCTTGGCAGTAAGCACTGGTAGGGTTGGCCAGTATATGTATTTTCTCTTTTCTTAACAGCTCAATTTCTCTTAATAAATACAGTATCTATCATATATTTTGTATTTCATTATCTTGGAGGAAAAGACTGCATTAAACTTTGGCAGGATTCTTATGTGCCTTCTGCACTCTGCCACAATTAATAATTTACAAGTGCGACTGAAAAATTGTACGAATCCAGCTCAGGAAGTAAGTAGTAGAGGAAAGAGAAAAGCTCATCCTCAGATCAGAAACTTCACTTCCCTTAAAAGAGGCTTATTGAGTGATGAAGACTTTAGTAAGTTCTTCTCTATCTTTGGCAAGTAAGTTCTAATTTAAGGGATAAATTAATTACCTCAATTTTGACAGATGCTACTTTTATCTTTTCATGTACAAGAACATGGATCTCTTCAAAGCCAGGCTTAAAATTTTTTTATCTATTTATTACTGGAAACTTCTACACATCAGGAGAAACTTTTATGCATTGCTGCATCTGCTGTTAGAGTGTTGTACTCAACCTTACACCATTTCTCTAAGTATCAGTTACTATTTTACCCCCAAAATTTAATAGATTTAATAGTAATTTAAGTTTTTCCATGAAATTACACATCTGTATGATTTTTGTAGTCTTTGTAACCCTTTTCAATATGGACTGAATTTTAATTGTGTATTTTTATTTTAATATAAGCTAACTACCCCAAGATGCTGCTCTATGGTGCTGAAACGAGGGAAGGGCAGGGGGAGAGCTAGTAAAAACAAAAGCAAGAAGGACATGCGCTAATCTTGGACAAGCCAAGTGTAATAATGACTCAAAATTAAGAAATTGATTCTTTTAAAATAGTTTTTCAAAATCATTAAAAATATTTGAGTGTTATCACACTTAACTGTGTGGTAGAAAAAGCTTTTCCTTAGATCTCACTTTTTAACAAGGAAATGGCTTCTGGCAAAATTCTTGCGAGATCTTACTAAAGACATTATTTAATTTTTCAGCACAACACTGGGCATGACTTCTTACCTCGCTCCTCATGAGCGTTTTAACACTACATTTATGAGGACATGAAACCATGACACATGGGCAGTCTGTATCTTCATGTTTCTACAGAGGAAAAAAGCAAACAAACAACAAATCAGATCTTACTCTTTAACTAAGAGGACTTACCTGCAAAGAAAAGCATCCTACAATAATTAAAAATCCCACAAGATTTTTTCAATGTTATTCCTAGTTGCACAGTTACAGAACTGCAATTGCTTAAACATAATTTTATACTTTTCATGACAGTGTTGATATTCTGAAGCAAAACCAAGGGTTTCCTTGTGTTCTCCCATGCAAAGCAAATTTATTTGCTTACCATTTTATTGGTTTTACTTCATACAATGAAACAGTAGTCAAAGTTGAGCTTTAACCCCCAACAATAACTCACAAAACTGGGCATCTAGATGTCCTTTCTAGTGAGGGTATATACTGCATGGAAAAGTTCATCAGAAATATACACTGCCCACTCTGAGATTCTCTTTCCTATGTATGGATATTCCCTTCCAATTATTTTCTAATTTTGATTCCCAAACACCTGACATTAAGATTCACTGTTATACATCATGATGCTGGGCAGGGATTTTAACCTGAACCCAGATGACAGGTACCTCAGCACAGCTGTCAAACCCTACCACCCCAGTGAGGGAAGAAAGTCAGGCCCAAGATAACTGAATTTACATTTCCTCTCCATCTTCTCAACAAAATGAAAAATCCACTTCTCGTCAAGTGACACGACCCATTCAACTTGAAACACGCTGCTTCATTTCTGGTACTTAAGAAAAGCAAAGGAAACAACGCTCTAGATTTATAAACCTGTTAGAAAGGGAAGAACAAATAGCATGCCCTTCTTGGCCCTGTGACCAGCTCTATTCTTTGAAACAAAACCAAGAGGTAAAGGAGATCTGATCTCCAAGATGTGAAAGGCCTTGGTCAGAATTCTGGCCTAAATCTGACACTATCTGAGGCTGTGTATCTCCTCCTTTTAAAGCAGGCCATCAGATGCTGTCCTGAGCCATCTTCCCTGCTATGCTCCCCATTCACACTCGCTCACTTGGGCTGTGGCACAGTCCCAGTGGCAGGAACCAGGGAGCCCTCAGCTGCTGCTCAACCAGAGAGCTGGGACAGCTCCTGAGCCATCTTCAGTCTGTCCCCACCAGGGTACCCAGCCAGGAGCAATGCCAAGCCCTCTCCTCAGATCAGCCTGTCAGGGTGACAGTGACGTTTTTCTGACAAGAGGAGCCCCAAAGCACCGCTCCTTCTCAGAGTCAAGAGCTGGACCTGGGCTTCTCATTCTGAACACATCTGGAATTGTGCTGAAGGGAGACATCTCACACAACATTAGGCTTTAGGAGCCTAATGCCCTACACATGTCCTTATTTATTTATCAACTACAAACCCAGAAAAGTAATACTCCCTTCTAATGTTCATTCCCTAATTTTAATTCCCTAACCCACCCAAACCATCTGACAAAGGCTGTGACACTGAGCCTTGGTTCTTGGCAAGAAGGAAACATGTAACTTCTCAGCATTCTCTCCTGGTTTCCTCCTTGCTCCACATCCCAGTGTCCATCCACTGAGGCCATGGCAAGCCTTTCCAGAGACTTCAGGATATATCAGAGTAACCCCAGTTCAGAGGCAGAACTCTCTCCCTCCTGATCTCAATTCACCCAGCTGAGTACATAAAGCCAAACACCAAATCCAGCACAAACCACGGCACACGCAGGGCTCCCAGCACGGGTGAGGGCAGGGGAGGAGATTAACACAGCTCCCAGAATTAGGAACACATCTGGCTCCAGAGCAGTGACAGGGAGCAAGGGACAATATCTGGGGTCATCCCTGATGCTGTGCCAGTCAGCTCAGCTACACTTCAGAGCACAGGGCAGAGCCCAGATTGTCCTGGCAGGGTCTGGTTTATGGCCAGGGTTTCAGGGAGGAACCCAGGCATGAAACAGTGCTGTCCTTCCAGATCCCTGTCACACTTCTGCTGTCTAAATATCAGTGTTACAGGACTAGCACTTCCAAGCAGCTTTGTGGATTATACAGAGAAAAATACAGTGATCCAGAAGCATTTCACACTACTAATTTCCATTTTAACAATGCACCATCTTTATCTGTCAGGAGGTAGAAGATGGAAAGGGTAGGTTTGTGGCAAAAAGAAACCCTGAGTTTTTAGATGGTTTGAACAAAGGATATTAAGAGAAGTCACCGAGTGAGCATGCAGCAAGACAAATGCAATCTAAAAAAGCATTCTACTAACATTGCTAACTTGTTGGAGTCTGCCTCCAACAACGGGGATTTCCTACCCCACCGGTCACGGGATTCTATGAAGACATGAACCACATGTTCTCCAGTAAAATTTTTTGTTTCCATTTGCATACCTTTTTTCTCAGTCTGCTCCCCCTACCTCCGTTTTCAGTTCAAGTCACTGAGGCCAGCTTCAGTCACTATTACATTAGAGAAAATTCTAGGCTACAAAACCCAGAGATGAACTCGAGTTCATCTCTAAAAATCCAGTTTTGTCAATGGGGTGACAAAACTCAAATGAGAAGTCAAAAGAAACCTTACAGTACCTAAAGGGGTCTACAGAAAGCCAGTAAGGGACTTTTTTTACAGAGGCATGTAGAGATAGGACAAGGGAGAAGGGCTTTAAGCTGATAGAGGGCAGATTTAAATTAGATATTAGGAAGTTCTAAACTGTGAGGATGGTGAGGCACTGGAACAGATTTTCTAGAGAAATAGTGAATGCTAAATCCCTGGAAGCATTCAAGGCCATGCTGGTTTTGAGCAACATGGTTGAGTAGAAGCTCTCGTTCCACAGCAGAAGGATTGGAACAAGAATGATCTTTAAGGTCCCTTCCAAGTCAAACCATTCTGTAATTCTAAGATTCAAACATAGTGTCATAAAGCTTCTGATTCTTATTACTAAAGTATAGTGAGATAACATTTTAATCAGGCCACAACAAAGAAGCCCATCTGCATTTCTATAACTACTGAACTTTTAAAAATCTAGGAAAAAGCCCCAAAAATATCAGCCAACCCAGTTTGCAGAACATAGTTAAAACTCACTGATTCTGTCTGTTAAGACACCATACATTTTTTAACATCACTTTTTGCCTCATGCCAATCCCCAGCTTAATCATCATTCTGGTAGAACAGCATCCATAATCCACCTAAATACACTTCACCTCTGTATCAGAATGTACAAGAATAAATACAGGGCAGACTTAATTTTTTCTGTGTATTTTCATGTCTCAGCCACCTTATTCTAGGTAAGGCAGTTATTGAACTACCAGCCCCTGCAAGTGTGCACTCAAATAACAGAGCCAAACCTAAACCAGAACTTGGCAAGTTTCTACCTATGCCTTTTTGTAACATCTCCAAGCAAACAACACTTCTCATCATTGTCAGACTTTCCCTAACAAACAACACAAAAGAACACAAATAAGAATAAAATTTCATCACTCTTACTGTAGTAAGAAGGTGTGAGATCCAAGACCATCAAACTACAGAAACTATGTAGACAGAATTTTTTAAAAAATGTTAAAATCATACCAAGATAGATTCAGCATAATATCTTTCCATGTGAAATAACATAAACACGGTCAAGTTAAAATTCTATGTGTAATGTAAGCATGACTTTCTCAACCTCTGCTCTGTAATTCTAACCCTCAATATGCTGCCTATCAGACAAGCCACTCTGATGCCAAGAACAGCAGTAACTCATCCTAGGCCTGTCATGTACCACTGCTGGTTATGCCAAGGTACAATTTGCTTCTACATTCTTCCTTTTCTCTCATAAGACAGAATTGGTTTTACACTCTTCCCTTCCTCCCATAACAGATCACACAGTACACCCAAGAAGGACTACATAGAAGATGCTATTTTTCCAGTCAATTGCAATGCTTATGCTTTTCTTGCACAATATTTGATTGTTGTTATAGTAGTTGCATTTATTAACAAAATTGTAAAAAGAAATCTAAAAAGCATAGCAAAATTAACTTCAGAATCAATACCACACAGTGGATCTGAACTTTTTAAAATGCAGTATCTGAACATCAGAATAAAGAAAATATTTCCTATTCAATGCACTTTTTTTTTTCCCCAGGAAAAAGACATGTTTTGAAAGTCAGCCTATTTTCTTTTTTGAATTATTAATTCTGGCTGAGGGGCCAAAGCTCTTTTGCCAGCTACAGAGAAGGACAAGAAGAGTTGTTATTATTCTACATTAATGTAGGGAATCTTGAGATATATACACAAGAAAATACTGCACCTGCAACATAATCATTGGGACTTGGCTTTTACAGTATTTACAGGTTGTCTCCCGGTATTTACAGGTCTTCTCTACATGGTCTGGCAAATCTTTTCTCAGTATTTTTTCTTTGCAATCAGCACGAGGACATGGGAGTTCTTCAAACTGACAATCAGTCCTCAAATGCATCTGAAAGATTCAAAAAAAAACAACAAGTCAATCCAATTAAGTTTTGTGCATGTCTTCTATCCTTTGAAGACATCCAACATTAAATAACTCCTTCAGTAAGGAGAGTTATTTTGTGAACTACATCACACAAGAGCAAACACTGACAAAACTACTCAGGAATACATTTCTGACTGTACAGTCCCTTTACCTGGACAGCTGATTTCACTGCATTACAGATGTACATGAGCTACTCCTACACTAAAAGCATTCCAACACAGCACAAAATTCTACACAGGCTATTTAAAGAAAAAATAAGCACTCTTTTTAAAGGTATATTATTCCACATAAATACAGATGCTGCTTTAAGTTGTTTAGGTACCTGAGCTTGCTCACTCAAAGCAAGCATCTACACATCTCACTGCAAACTGCTGTGCAGCCATACCATACTACTGTTGAATTACTGAATTCCTGCTATCTCATGCCTTCACCAAAACAGCTACAGCTTATTTTGCACAACTCTGAAGAAGCCAAGTTTAATTTCATGCATAAACACCACATGAGAGGATTAAGATAAATAAAACCACACCAAAATAGAAATAAAATTTCTCACATTTGTCAAGTACACTTTAAGATTCTTCACTATTCTATTTCTCCTTCCAGCTCTCATTTGGTTCATATATTTGTATTTCCAAGCTTTAGTGCCAGACAATCACATGATTTTTTATAATTCCTTACAGTTCATAAAAAAGCTGAGTGTTAAAACAGTTTAAATCTATCGTAACATTCCTAAATCACATTAACCATCAGTGAGAGTAAATTAAGAAACTGACTGCGATTTTAATTTGTAAGAATTTTTTCATCATTCTTTAACTCAAAAGAAAGCTTATGACTGGTAGATTAACTTACCAGTAATTGACCCAAAGATAGCTGTTCCTTACAGCCCTTGTTTTCATTTCTGCAGTATATTTGAAGGGCAAGTAGTTCTCTCCTGCAACAATTATCTTTAAATACCTGAAAAATCAAAAATCACTTTATTTTAGAAACAAAAACCACTCAAGGATATGCAAGTTCAAATAAAGTAGAAGCCATGCAATTCAGCTACAGCAGCATCATTCAATTCTAACTTTATGTGCCAAAAATAAAATCCTGCTATTCTATTTTTCTAGAATGTGCACAACATTGAGGTTCCTCCACTGTGAAGCAGCTCAATGAAAGAGTATTTGGAAAGATACTCTACTACTGTTTCAGCTGTACTGTAAATACAATAAAGGGAAAGGTACAAGAAAGGACCAAATTTGCTTTTTGCTTGCCAATATTAGCCCTGCTCAAGCTAGAACTCTCTCCATTGTTTGGGGAGCTGCTGTATTAGGCACAACACCATAGGACAAAACAGACTCAAAGCACAGTAGTTGGGAGTGGAAGCGTTTCATGGATGGTGGTCCCAAAATTACTAGATTGGATGGCTGGAATACCTACCTGCACCTCAGTGATAACACATAATTACAGATATTTTGTAAGGTTTTGGAGGGAAGGAGGTATTTTATTTCACAGATAAGCAGCCTTTAAAAAATCTCTCATTTTAATGTTTATAAGCACTTTCAGCATTTTTTGTCCACAATAAAACTGGAAGAAGTTACAAATAGAGAGGTTGGGGTTTGGATTTTACTCCATAAGAGACAACACAACTGAAATCTCAAGGAGCCAACTGCAATGGGCAGGAACTAGAGAATGAGAGACAAGAACTGAAAACCATTACTGCTATTTTAAAGTGCAAAACCTAAGAGATAAACTTCTAATTGTTTTTCAACTGCTTTAATAGCCATTAAGAAATACCTCAAGAACCAAGCCCAACCTATGACTGCTGCTCTGAAAAACAGACTCCTGTGATAATGTGCACACTGCAGCACTCCTGTAATTATGGAATGGTTCTGCATGCTAACACTTAACCAAGAATTATAATCCACCTGCCCACAGTGACTATGAACCTATCCCCAGTATCAGTGAAGAAGGGAACACTGCAATCACTCTCATCTGATCCCATCTGACACAGGTCACTGATTTCTATTTACTTTTCAGAAGCGTGTGGGAAGTTTAATGAATCAACAAGTCTCATTTAAATAATCAATTGGCTATGCTGCAGTATCTCTTCCAAAGTAATTCACAGGGTCAGTATGCAGAGTTTTGCTGACTGAAGATAAGGTAAGCAGACAACCTTTAAAGTTTTTCAAAGATTATCTAAAAGCATTTCTGTGATTTAGGACTTCAGCATTCTGTGGGAAGAGAGGTGTCCAGTTTCATTTGATTTGCACAGTTAGTCTAACAGGTATTTAGTATACAATGGCCTTCTTGTCCTGTTCTAAAGATACTTGAAGTTTTGTAACAAATGTACACATTTATGTATATTGAGAGCCAGAAAGTCAGAGTTAAAAGAACAAATAAATTAGGCATCATGACTATTGGTCTGAGCTCCTGGAGAATCCATCCATGTTAAAACCAAATTACACTGAGCACTGTTCAGAGAACTGTTTTGCATTAAAACAAAGAGACATTAACGTACCCATCAACCTTTTCTTCAAAATGGTTACAAACACAAGCATTCATTCAGGCAAGAAAGACTACTAGCACAAATAATTTACTAAACACTTTAGCAATAATGTAAAACCACATAAACCATACACTAAGCCAGTAAGTTTTTCTACCTTCAACGTTTTAAAGGCAGCAAAAGTTTTGATGTGAAAAACAGTGAAGAGGGTATCACTGAAATAACTTATACATATAAAAAAGAATCTGATCCATTACCATTACTGTAACTCCCCACTGTCCTAATTCCAGTGGGGTTCACTGACCACCACACCACTCAAAAGAGATGAGTGAAACAGCAGCCACTGGTCTAGAGCCGAATCAGTGCTCACCCAGACCTGTCAGGTGCCTGCATCTGCAGGAGATGGAATATTTCTTATCGTCCTCTTGGCTGATGGGAGGACAAGTGCAATGTGTTGCTGCAGCTCCCAGCTGTGAATACAAGATGTGACACCTGTCTGGACTTTTTGGGATGAAGCTGACGTGTTTTCTACCATGAGGTGAACAAGAAAAATGAGCCACCTACCGCTGTAAAATGCATGGCTTAGGTTTTATGACAAACCTACCTTTTTAGGCAGCTTATTAGGTTTATGAAATAATTACCATATAACAGTAACACAACTTGTGTATGCCACACAGTTCAATACTCTTGAATAAGAAAGTATTTTAACAATACCTTATCTTTTACTATGCTTTCTTGACATGCTGTACATTTTGGACTAGAAGATCTGAAGAGAAAAGAAAAGAGAAAAACTATTTTATCTCATCTCAATTTTTGTAGTACAAAAATTTCCGTTTATGAGGCACTTAGTTTTGATTATTCAATATATTTTAAAACCATTAAAAGTGGATATAGTTCATTACAAGAAGAAAATACAATATTATTTCAATAAACTTGAACATTTGCGTTTTCAGTGGAAAGTATCTGGCATTCTCAAAGCAAAACCACCACACAATGTCTCCAGAAAACGGCACAGTGGTTTTCAAGTTAGCAAAACTCATTCCCTTTTTTTCAGCCTGCACCTGATCCAAAATTGTTGTCATTTCTCAATCTGTGAAAACAGGCATATTGTGTCTTCAATTATTGTTTTTCAAACAATACCTAATGAAAATTTACTTTCTCTGACAGTCCATTATGCATACTTGTAGGGTAAAAAGTATTTATGTCCATGTCCTTCAAGTCCGTTCTGGTTTTAGCAACTGTTACAGATGTTTGCTGCCTCCTCTATCTGAACTACTGCCTTGTAGCTGTCTTGGTAACTACCAAACTTGTGACCTCTTGGACAACAGGGAGAATCAGGAGCAGGGCTGACTGTGAAGAGAAAGTGGAGTGCAGAAAACTTGAGTTTCTACAGCTGTTTCTGGCTCCGACTGCCAAGTGTTGTACTGTAAACACCTTAGGATCATAGAATGGATTGGGGTGGAAGAGAGCAAAGCTCATCTGGTTCCACTGCCCTGCCATGGAGAGGAACACCTTCCACCAGAGCAGGCTGCTTCTTTCAAGGTGGAGTCACCATCCAGTGTTTAAGAAAAGACTCAGTGCCATGGTTTATTTGAGGTGTTAGGGCTGGGTTGGACTCAGTGATCTTGAAGGTCTCTTCCAACCTAGTGATTCTGTGATTCTGTTCCTTTTTAGCTCCTTTTCCCCACATGAAATGGGAACAGTCAAAATTATCTCCTTTGTAAAGCACCGAGACGAAAAGCATCAGGTAAAAGCTGTGTGAATTCTTCCATGAAGCACCTCACTGACAGGCTGTGGCTGCTAGCAGCAGTGCAAATCAATGTAAAAGGCTGAAAAAGTTCAATTATGTTATGTATTCTGTATGGTTATTTCAAATCATCTCACTGGCTTCTGCTTTTCAAACCAACCATTTTGTGTCTCATCATATTTCTGAGCATCTTAAGTACCTTGAAGCTTCAATATCTGTAATGCTTTTCATAAGTCAGAAAAAAAAAAAAGAATCTAAACTACATCAGGGCAGATAGTGTTTAATACAATGTCATGCTTTCCTTGCTCTTACTGAATTCACTCAAGCATCCAACTTGCTTTTTCAAACTACTCTTGCATACTGAGCAGGCATCTTTACTGCTTTATCTCCACTAACTCCCAATTCCTTGTCCTCAAACAACCCTGGAACAGAAGTTACTAGCATACAATTACTGTGTTTGTGTATGCAGCAGCATATCAACACTGAATGAAAAAATTGTGTGCCAAATACAGGACCAACATACACCCATTTTACTCTCAACTTTATGGCATGCTTTTTATTTAAAAAATAAATAAAGGAGGAGATGTAAATTTTATTTTAATAAAGGATTTGTTTACGACAAGCACTTAAATAAAGTGAAATAACTCAATGGCCTTAAGCATGTGTAACAGACTGGTTGGAAAGTCAGGAAGATAAAATTACACATATTCTAGCTACACTGTAATAAGCACATGTGCATGTCTCACAGCAGGGAAGGAAAACTGCCCAGACTCTAGCAATGCCAGAATTGTTACCGCTTAGATTGTCAAGGATCTGCGCTGCCAACCTGTTCACATCCAAGCATGGCAGGTGCTTGGTTTTTTGCAGTCACTGTTATTAACCTTGTAAGAGTCTTCTAAAGACACATCCTGAATAAGAAATAACTGCATTTCTTACATATCACACCTCACTTCACACTGTGTATCAAGAAAAAGAAAAGTTGGTGGGTTTTTTTGTTGTTGGTTTAAATTTGAAATGCTGTAGGCACAAAACTTGCAGGAGTGCATTAGTGAGCTGTGAACCCTTGTGTTTGGCCAGTACAGAGATTACTCTTTATCAGGAGGATTGAGTATTGTAATAACTTCCATACTCTTTTGCCATGCTGCACGTAGCCTTGTCTTAGATATATTAGACATCAGATTACAGTATTTCCAAGTGACATATAAACCAGCATCTAGAGTCAGAGTGGGCACAAAAAGTAAACAGGTCACCAAGGCCTCCAAAGTCAAATGCTCTGACAGTAGTCCAGTATGCAACATTCATCAAGCCAGGTATGTTCTGTATTTCTGCTTTTCCAGTAGTAAATGAACACATTTGGTGCTTATGTACCCCCGGAGACTGAAGTGTGCTGAACGGTCTACAAACACTACACAAAGTTTTGGTTTCACATTACTCGAATACAACCAGCAGTAATGCACCAAAGCTGAGAGGCAAAGAAATCTACTGATGCACAGGCACTTAAAACCTAGATACTCCCTGAATGATTGCACTTTAACTCTTATCTAGACTGGGCAAGACTGCACCTCTCAGCATTCATTTTACATCTCTATCGTTCACTCACCTCTTTGCACTCTGGCCCAAACATCTCAGTAATAGATGCCAGCCTTTCTGACCCTCCTGCAATCCACAGGACATGCAAGTCCCGTAACAAACAGGACTACAGGGAAACTCCACAAGCAGGTACATTTATCCAAGGCTCCCACCACCCATTCTGGGGCTGGGTCCACAGCCAGGTTAGGTATCACCATCCCAAGGAACGTGTACAAGCTCATGTCCTCACACAATTTACTGTGTGTGTTTGACACCAGATTACCCAAGTTGGAAGTCTTGTGAAACAGCTACTCCATTTGGCCTCTACAGGGAATGAAATTCTTACCTAACACATTTCTACATGTGATTACACCACCTTAACAACTGTTCCAACAATACTGATGGAAAGCTCAGTTGTCTTACCCTGACCCAGAGTAGATCAAAAATGTTTGCACCAGCACACAGATAACAAATACTCAAGCAAGAAACAGTGGAAGGCTCAACATATTCCTAAAGCTGCAATGGTGTTCACAGTAATGTCAGTAGTTCATAACATTTAAAGGTATCAACATGCTCTACCAGAACAAACAACATACCTCAGCAAGGCATTCATGCAGGTTTCACAGAACCTGTGTCCACATTCAGTCTGTTTAGGATTGCATAAGATGAGGTGACATTTTTCACATTTGTACTTATCTTCCACTGCATTCACAAATTTCTCTTTGTAGCCACCTTGCTCTGGAACATAGATGGATGCTGATGGACTGCGGTCAGGATTGGCCCTCTGCTGTACCATTTCTACAGATAAAGGGGGTTCTGACTTCTTACTGGGGTCCATGCTCTAAGATAGTTTCTGTGAATCAAAAGTGAGAAAAACTGAGAAATTAGGACCTCTTTCACCATTTAAATAAAACAAACAGAGCATCTGAGAGATTTCATAAAATCAGAAAGCATCAGTAACAGATCTGTGTCCACACATCATATGAACATACATTTTACATACATTACTGCCCAAGTACATTTAGCATAGCAAATCTGCAAAATAGTCTACATATTGAAAGGCTCTAGAAAGCAAAGAATTAAAACCTGCTCCTGAAAATGAAATGTTAATCATGGTCATCACTCTAGGAATGCACATGGGATTCTTTCATATTTTTCTCGCTCTGAAAAGTATTGCTTAATGTTGAAGTCCAACCATTAGGGGCAGCAAGAGGTGTAGTGAGGAAGGTACAGTACTGCATGTGATCCTGCTCAAATGCTATTGCAAAAGCACACAACCACCAGTGTCCTACACGGGGTACCCAGAGCCTGCCCAGCTCCCCTGCCCACTGTTCCTGTCTATCGCTTTGCAGTAGTGCAAGACACACTGGTTTAAAGTTTGCTTCACAACACCACACACGGGTTTTACACTCCAGATACTCCAACCTTTTCATGGCACATCTTCACCTGAAGAGAGCAGCTGAGCAAAGTCTAACTGATAGCAGAGAAGGGCCTATGTAACATGGCCTCTTGATTAGTTTACCAGGGCTAAGCACAACTGACAGGCAGCTGAGAAACTGATTAATCCAGCTGAAGAGTAAATTACAGTACCTATTATCTTGGACAATCCATCTTCTAGGTCAGCACGCAACGCATCAGCAGAGCAACAGAGCAATAACATCCCTTAATATTTTAAGTTTTAAAATGCATTTTCAGTCATTGCCTAGCTAATCTTGTAGTCAAGCAAGCATAAGTGCTCTTAGAAAGGCTCAGCATATCCAGGAGAAATCACAGTTGGAGGAAGCAGAATGAAGAAATGAGGCTCAGTTCACTTCTCAAAGTATGTCCACAAACACCACAAAGGGAGTCAATGCCTCACATTCTAAAAACACAAACCCTCTTGTACACTGTTTTTGTGGTATCTTACCTTCCCTTGCTAAGCCCAAAACCACACATTTGTAATGAAACATATTTACTTGTAGGTAATTTCTGCATCTGGAATTTTGGTACAGAATTCTCCATGCAAACTAAATGGGTACAGAATTTTCTTTGATTTCTGAAGCCATTATTTACAGAAACAAAAGGTAAAATCATTGTGACTCAATGCTGAGACTATTTTATATTTTTACAACACCGGGTGAGCAAGGGTAGAGATTTTGAGTGAAGAATTCTCACTTCATTGCTCCCTTCCCCAGGGGAAAGCCTCTCTGGTCTCCATCAAACTCAGAGAGAGCCCAAGGAACCCATCCTCATAACTCAGCACACAGACCCAGTGATTATGTCTTATTCTAAACCAGCAAAACACAAGCACAAAAAAAAAAAAAAAGAAAAAAAAAAAAAAACCAACAGGTTTTATGAACTGAAAAGCTCCTATAAATTCTGATCCATAATTTGAACTAATGTTAGTCTGTTCCTTGTCTGCTCTTCAAAGATTGCAGAGACCTATGTCTTGACAGAACAATATGTGAAAGACCGAAAAGCCTGGGCTGAACTGAAAGTGACTCACACTTCTCATTAATGAGGAAATTCAGATTATTTCAGACCTTAGCTAGAGTTTCATCAGCAAGCATAAAAACCCAGCAGTTAATAATGACACTGAAGAGGCAACTCAAGACTGTAACCAGTAAAAAGAAATGAGATTGATGCTGAGAACATGATTCAGACAAGGAGGTTCAGAGAAGTGCCATGAATGAGAAAGGAAAGCAGCTTACAAAGGTATTCTAGATTTAAAGGCTGCCCAAGGCGTGAGAGCTGCTGCTGTACATCAGTGGCTGGACATGGGCAAATGCAGTCATGAGCTCAGGACCTGACACCTTTCTGTGGTTATAAGAGAAAAGATTAGCAAGAGATGGAAAAGAGTGCAACTCCTTAAGTATCCAGACTGCTGAAACTTAGCTACCTAGGGACCTGATTCGTACGTGTGATTGGAAAAGCTTCATTTGGCACTTGCAGTTTAGCAATCTGTAAATGTTTCAATTCCTTGATTTACAGATATTAATACCTCTTTTCCTTCTGCAGCTGTGTATCTTTTTAAAATCATATTCAAGACCTCCACTATTCTGGTAATCCTTGAAGTTAAAAGCCAACTTCAAGCATATTGATTTATAGGAACAACACAGGGAACATTACTTTCCTTAAAATGACAGAAGAAACAAGGCATGACCTGCTTCTAATCCCCAAAAGAAATACAGAAATAATAGGTGCTAAAAGAGATGCTGACAGGAGAATTGTCAAGTCAAGAGAGCACAAAGTTCCCAAACTTGCAAGTCACAGTCCACAACTACTGAATGTCTGCTTCCCCATTAAGTTTCTTCTGAACAAAAAGAAGCTAAAGATGATTGCAGACGTGAAGTCTTCCAAAAGCATTATTTCTTCAAGGAAATTGAATAATTAGTCACAAAGACTTAACACAGACAGCACTGAATGCCAAATGAGCAGCAGGTGGGAGTTTCACAGAGATCCAAAACTGCTCCAGGCTGGACTGTCAGCTGTCAAGAGAGATTTCACACCAGAATAAAGTGCACAGGATGCCACAGGACTCCACTTTTGGAACTGACATCTTGGATATCTTGTCACAGAAAAGAAGCAGAAAGCACACTGACAAATAAAACATACTACAGGACATGCTTAACAGATTTGTCTGCCTTGGGTTTTGTATTTATTTTATGAAGTATGTCAGACCAGAAAAGCTAAACAAGCTCAGCAATAGAGCAGCCAGATTGGTGAGGAATTCTCTTTCACAATACTCTGAATGCCAGCATTTCCTTATGCAGCAAAACTGGGAAGCCATTCATGAAGTACTGTCCTAAAATACAACAGAGCATTGAGCCTGCAAGACCACCACAACCTTATTACAATGAACAAGCTGTATTTAACAAGGGGATGGGGAGAAGTGATGTCTGTGCCATCCAGCTGAAGACTCTGGTTCTTGTTCAGCAAGCTAAATCTTAATGCCTAATTAATCAGCAGCTAGTTCTTACACTCCAGTTTCTTATCTTTTCCTGTAGATAATCATCACAATGAAAGTATATGACTTTTAGATGTTTTTTAAAACAGTTAAACCTCGGACAACCACTTTTCAGGACAGATAAGCACATAAAAAGAGGCACGGTCACCAAGGCTGGCTCTGTCCACTGTTGCTTGTCTTTCAGCCATCTCTCCTGCAGGCAGCATATGCTGATATTCACACTTGAATGGACATGGTTCATGGCCATCAGATGGGTGACACTGTGACACTGCTTGCTCCAGTCTGGTCACTACTCTTGTTCAATACAAGTGGTACTCAAGTAAATGAGGCTGAACCTCAGCTGATACTTCAAGCTGTATATACTGCAGTGAAGGTCAGAACAATTTGCTGGTGCTTAACTAACACTAATATCAGTACAGAAACCTAGAAACTGGAAGCAAAAGTGAGTTTACTCACAAAGTTGTTCCGAGAATTAGGAAGCACGGGAATTCCCAAACAAAAGGCACTTTGCTCTTTCCTTATTCAAGCAAGCATGTTGTTCTCACTGCACAAATAGCAAACATCCAAAAAATCTGCACTTGTGTTCTGTATTAGCACATATCTTTATGATTTGTTCTTAGGGAATAAAGCCAGTTTGTGACACTGAAATACAACAAAGCTTCTATAAAAATTCAAAATAAATTTGCATCCTAATGAAAACAGAAAAAAATTAACTCTTATATAAATCTAAAACACTCCTAAAAATGTGACTGTACTAGGTACCACAGGATTTGGAACCTAGAAAGCTCTCCATGAAGACAGTTTCAGTATATTGACAATATGAAGCAAATAAGCTTTTACCACAGCTTTAAAATTCAAAAAGAGCAAAAAGCTATTAGAAATAAATGTTTTCATTACAGTACCTTGGAAGAAAATAATGCATGACACTGTTTAATTTGGTTATTACTACAGGACAGCAAAGCTTTTTGATCAAATTACAATTTGCATCAAGAACAGGAGTTCCTCAAACAGAACAGCACTGCATGCACAATATCTAAATTAAGCTCTGAAAGAGAAACCCAAAGTGGGACAGGGAGCTTAAGATCACAGCAGAAAAGTAACCTTTCCTCTTCAAAAAATTTTTGTACCTAAAATGTGTAAAAGCACACAAACTTCAGCATCTCATCCTAACTAGGCCATTTTTTTGGGTAGCCTGGGGTATAATTTTTCAGTCTAGCTTTTAATGAGATAAGGGATTGTGGCTGCGCTGTCTCTCCTCTCAGCCTCCCAAAACCACATCAGAACCAAGTGGACAGTGCTTCCATGAAAATGAACAGCTATAAGGGGAACAGAAAGAGAAACTTAATGTTTTTATAGTCCCTTGCTCCCAGTGAGCAAGAGGCTATAAAAGTGCAGGTCTGTCAGTCAGTCAGTGCACAGACACACACAAACCAGCCAGGAGCACCTGCTCCACCTTGCCCCACCAAGCTTCACAGCCTCAGTCTCCTTCTGTAAAAGCAGGGGTGGGCTGGAGATCTGGGTTTTGTTGTTTGATTGCTTTTTTGGGGTTGGTTTTGTTTGGTTTTTTGGGTTTTTTTTGAGGAGGGGGGAGTAGGAGTAAAAAAAGGGATGTAGAACACAGATTAGTAGGAAAACAGACTGCATCAGTTTCACTGCTCTTCACAGAATTTGCTTCCATACTCCACAGGATATCCTCAGAGACACAGACAACCAGGTACCAGGAGAGGGATTTCCAGATCTTCAGTCTTTCCAGCTCACTTGCTTTCTATCATCAAGAATTATTGCTTCAAGTTAGCACACAGAAACCTTTATCTTAAAATTAAATTATTAAAACAATCTAAAATTCCTCTCTTATATTTCAGCATTTTATAGCTTCTAATAAATTCCTAGAACATACTGAAAAGAAT